CTCATATTTACATGTACCTGACCTAAGAGCACCAAATATAAAAAGCTATTAAAAAGACCTAAAAGAAGAAGTGGACAGTATTATGAAAAAATACAACAGGAGGAGACTTTAATAACCTACTTGCACCAATTGATAGGTCACCCGGATGGTAAGTCAGCAAGGGAAATATCAGCCTTAAATGACACATTAGATCAGAAAGACATAATATTTATAAAACTTTCCATCCTGAAATGATAGAATACACATTCTTCTCAAGTGCACACGGAACATTCTCAAGGACAGACTTTTATGTTGGGACACAAAACTACTCTAAATAAATTTAAAAAGATTAAAATTGTACCAAGCAAATTTTCTGACCACAAAACATGAAACTGGAAGTCAACTGCAAGAAGCTGAAAAAAAATCATGAATATGTGGAAATCAAGCAACATGCTAGTAAACAAGCATAAGGTCAAAGAACACATTTTTCAAAAGAGATCAAAGAATGCAGACAAATGAAAAAATATGACATACCAAAATTTTTTGGATGCAGTGTGTTAGCAGTAAGGTAGTTTACAGCAATGCAGGCCTATATCAAAGAAACAAGAATCCAAAATAGACAATCTAACATTATACCTTAACTAGAAAAAAGAACAAACAAAGCCCAAAGCAGTAGAAAGAAGGAAAATACAAAAATCAGAGGTGATGTAAATGAAATAAAGAATAAAAAGACAATAAAAAAAGTGATGAAACAGAGCTGGTACTTGGAAAAGATAAAGTTGAGAAACCTCTAGCTAGTCTGACTGGAGAAAAGAGAAAATACTAAAAATCACAAGTGAAAGAAGTCACAACAGATACCTCAGAAATGCAAAGGATTACAAAAAAATACTATGAAAATCTATATGCCACCAATCAGACAACCTAGAAGAAATGGAGAAAGCCTTAGATATAACCTTCTTAGACCGAATCATGAAGAACTGTAAACCTGGACAGACCAATCAATAGTAAATAAACTGAGACAGAAATCAAAAACTGCTCCTTTCCACCCGCTACCAACCCCTCCCCCCCACAAAAGGCCAGGACCAGATGGCTTTACTAGGGAATTCTAACAAGCATTCAAAGAACATTCAATGCCTATCTTTCTCAAACTCTTCACAAAAAAACTGAAGAGTAGGGAATGGTTCCTAACTCATACTACATGCCAACATTACCCTGATACCAAAACCAGGCAAGGACATCACACAAAAAAGAAAATTACAGACCAGTGTCTCATATGATTAAATCCTCAACAAAATACTAGCCAATCAAATACAACAATACATTAAAAGGATCACACACCACAATTAAGTGGGATTCATTCCGGCAACACGTGGATGATTTAATATCCACAAATTAATCAACTTGATACACACCATTAACACAATAAAAGATAAAAATTATGATGTAAATAGATGCATAAAAAGCATCTGGCATCATACAACAGCCATTGTGATAAAAACTCAGTAAAATGGATATAGGAGGAAAGTACTTTAACATAAAGGCCATATATGACAAACCCTCAGCTAACATTATACTCAGTTGTAAAACACAAAGCTTTTCCTCTAAGATCAGAAACAAGACAAGCTTGGTTGCTCTCCCCTTTTATACCAGTTATTCAACATAATACTGGAAGTCCCAGCAAGAGCAATTAGGCAGGTAAAAGAAATAAAAGGCATCCACTGTAAAAAAGCAGAAGTATCACAATTTGCAGATGACATGATTTTATATATAGAAAATTTTAAGGACTCCACCAAGCTATTATAAATAATAAATACAGTAATGTAGCAGGATACAGAATCAATGTACAAAAGTCTGTAGCATTTTTACATACTAACAACAAAATCTCAGAATGAAAAACAATCCCATTTACAATCACAACAAAAATAATAAAATACCTAGGAATAAACTTAACAAAGGAGATTAAGGACCCGTGTACTGAAAACTACAAGACACTGATGAAATAAACCAGAGAAGACACAAAGAAATGGAGAGATATTCTGTGTCATGGATTAGAAGAATCAACGTTATTAAAATGTCCATATTACCTAACAGAGTCTACAGATTCAATGCAATCCCTATAAAATGCTGATGGCATTTTTTACAATAGAACAAAAAATTCTAAAATGTGTATGGAACCACAAAAGACTGAGTAGCCAAAGCAATCCTGAGAAATGAAGAACAAAGCCAAAGAACACACTTCCTGATATTTAACTATCCTACAAAGCTAGAGTAATCAAAACATGATATTGGCAGAAAAACAGACATACAGACCAATGAAACAGAACTGAGAGCCCAGGAATAAACCTACACATACATGGGCAACTAACTTACAATAAAGGAGCTAAGAATATACAGTGGAGAAGGAAAATTTCTTCAGTACATGGCTGAAAAAACATTCCTAATCCAGGGAAGAAAACAGACACTCAGGTCTAGGAAGCAGAGTTCCAAACAAGATGAAATCAAAGGGGCCCACGCTAAGACATAATGTAATTAAAATGGCAAAAGTTAAGGACAAAGAGAACCTTGAAGACAGCAATAAAGAAGTCACAAAGAAGGGAAAACCCTAATGCTATCAGCTGATTTTTCAGCAGTAACTTTACAGGCTATAAGGAAGTCTCAAGAAATAAGATAGGAACCTACAACATAAAATACTGTATCAGGCATGATTATCATTCAGAACTAAGGGAGAGTAAGAGTTTCTCAGAAAAGTAAAAATTAAGAGTACACCACCACTAAATTGTGTTTACAAGGAATGCTAGAAAGTCTTCTTTATGCAGAAAGACCATAACCAGAAATAAAACACAGAAGAAAAAAATCTCACTGGTAAAGGCACATATATAATAAACACTATGAATCAAGCACTTAAGGCTAAGATGAAGGTTAAAAGACCTTCAATAGATCTATGAATATATATGAAGCTCAAGAAACCAGAAACCAAAAACCTACAAAAAAAAATACAAAAAAAACACCCAACCCAATCAAAACACTAAAGAAAACCAGCAAATCAAGAGATCAAGAGAAGGAACAGAGAGCAACTAAAACAACCAAAAAACAATTAGCAAAATGGCAATAAGCACATACCTATTGATAATCACTGTAAATGTCAATAAACTAAATGCTCCAAATGAAAAGATACAGGGTGGCAGAATGGATTAAAAAAAAAAAGACTCATCTATATGCTGCCTATAAGAGACTCACTTTAGATCAAAAGACACACACAGACTGAAAGCAGAGGGATGGAAAAAGGTATTTCATGCAAATAGAAATGAAAAGCAAGCTGGAGTAACAACTCCCGTATCAGACAAAATAGACTCTAACAAAGAATGTAGACACAAAGGAGGACATTACACAATGATAAAGGGGTCAATCCAAGAAAATGTAACAATTCTTAATACCTATATGCTAATTTGAAAAGATACCCACACCTCTATGTTCACTGAAGCATTATTCACAATAGCCAAGATATGGAAACACCTACGTGTCCATCAGTAGACGAATGGACAAAGATGTGGTTTATACAATGAAATATTACACAGCAATAGAAAAAATCTTGCCATTTGCAACATGGATGGACTTACAGGGTATTATGTTAATAAGTAAAGTGAGTCACAGAGAAACATATATACTGTATGATTCCACTTGTATGTGGAATCTAAAAAAAAAAAGAAAACCCCAAATAAACAAAATGTCTGATGCCATTCTGATCTCTTTTCAGTTCTGAAAAATTAAACCACTCCTAATTCAAGGTCCAGACTGTCTCTTTTTCTCTTTAAAAAGTTTATGTATATTCCTATTAACCCAAAGTCCACTTTTCATTTTTCTTTCAGAGGGAAAAGAACAAAAACCATTTATTTATAACTATCTGAACTCACTCTACAAACAACTTCTACTTGGAATGCAGAGACACATTTAGCCAACTCTACATTCAGTTATTCATATTAATAATGCTAAGAATAGCAAAAAAGTGAGTTTGTTTAATAACCAGACTAAATTTCCATTTGGCCTCACCTCTTCTAAGCTTTAGGAAATCATTAGACTCCCCACCCAACAGTGAATGACTTGTATAATCCACAGTTGTTACATATAATCAGCCGTGCAGTAAATGTTAAAAACAAATGGTCTGTCTTAAGGAAGAGTACATGTATTTCATGTTGGCTTAATTTCTAACAGAAATACTATGTTGGAGGAAAATACTACTTAGCTAGAATTATATGGCAAGAGTGTCTAATGACCTCCCTGGGAGGGTGTCTACTTTTGCTCGTCTTTTGCCTTCTCTGCACTCAGCTGTCCCTCCTACCATACAGCACTTACCTGTTAATGCCTTCTTGAAGGGAACATGCCGCACTGCTGAGCCCACAGCCCAAGGACAACAGCTGGCACAAGTACAGGCCCAAATATTGTCCAACAAATATTTGAAGTATATGAAAACATGAGGAAAAACCTGTCATTCCTGACATTTAAATGTGAAGATTTCAGCACCAATGTAGATAAAGGAAAATTAGAATTAAGCTTATTCACAGCAAACAAAATGACATTTTAAGTATAATATACATTCTAAGTCAGTCATGGAAGATAAGAAAATACCCATCTTCAGAAAAGGAAAATTCCCATGTATATACAGATGTCAAATAAATACCAGTACAATACTAGTTAAATAAGTAACAGCACAATACTAAGGGTATATAAATAATAATGTTATAGAAAATTGGTATTAAGAGATAAGGAGGCTAATCCAAAAGACAAATCAATCATCCAAAATGAGGTAGAAGAGACCAGGAGCCACTGAAACCCTACTTCGTGAAATAGGTATGTCTGGAAGCAGAAGGGACAGAGATTGTATATATTTTATATTGTAAGTAATGGGCATCATACAAACTCAAAACCTGTAATTCAAATCTAGTGAATCAATCTAATGAAAATCAAACAGCATTATGGAGGCAAATGTGTTTAAAAAATATTTTAATAAGCATATTCAGAATGGCAGACAGGGACTGGGAGGAAGGAATTATTTTACAGTGCAAAATTACTATGCATAAATTTAAAAACATCTAACTCATAATTTTAAATGTCTATTTAAATATTTTTTCAAATACATTTTAAAGCTCAACAGATTTATGTTGAACTGAGTTGCAAATTCTGAACTCTATTTGAAAACACATCATAGAACAGAATACCACTCCAAATGAAAACAATAGTGCTTTGCTGGGGGTGGCAAAGACCAAGTAACTATTGACAAAGGCTTCTTTTCCCGATGCAATTTGTCAAGAGTTCAAGAATTAAGAAATGTACTAAATATGAAGCAAATTAGATCATATCACTAAAAATTTTATAGTGCAATGACTTATCAAGTTAAAATGGCTGCATTATGAAGAGCAAAGTACTGTGTGAAATACCTGTATAAACACAAAATATAATTAAATATTCCTTTATGAAAAGCTGAGCATTATGGATTATAATAGTGGAATGTCTTTCATTAGGCATACTTTAAAAAGATAAGATTAAGAAAAAATTTCCTAACATGTATACATGTGCCGTATTTGCAAATGTGCCTGAGAATTTACCAAAAATGTTCCTGCAATATTAGTCTGCAAGAATTTCACAAACCTGCAAACAAAATGCATCTTTTATAAAAGGTAAAAATGGTGTCTTAAATATTGCAACAACTTAAAAGGTACAACATTACTATTCATTTGAAACATTTCTACAGTCTTTGACAAAGAGCTGGGATACTTTGGATTTGTTTTAATAACATCTGATTGAGAAAATGGATTGTGATCATCTGTTAAAGCTGCCATTCTGGATAAATTAATGTGCTGGGTAAAACAAAACAAAATAAAAACAAAAGAATTCATGCTTCTCAACACTTCCACCTAAAACTTGGATTTACTTGGATATGTATGTAACAGTGAATGTACATTATATGAAGTCATGTCGTAAAGTGGCTTTTAATACTGTCTGGGGGAAAATCTTGTTCACACTGGTGGAGGGAAGCAGTCTGAACATATGTTAATAGTAATACTTCATGGGAATAAGGCCTAAACCATAGTATCTCAGTGCAAACCTCTACTTAATTGCATTAGACACTAGATCCATTAAAAACAAGATCACAGATTTATTTTCAAAAGGCATTGGCTCTTGAACAAATGGCTGATGAACTGGTGGAAGCATTTGGGGTATGCCTATGTGATAAAAACAATAGTTAATAATCTTTTATAAAAGTTTGGATATAGGTTGGTCTATCAGCTGTATAAAACTACATTTTTTAACAAGAATTTTGCACTAAAAATAAAATGGCACTCTTGAAAGGCTATGCAAATGGATGATCCTATTTGTAATCACAGAGCAATAGTTACAGTATATCTTATTTTCATTTTGGAAATACACTATCAAATCTGGAAAACTAGATTGTAACTAGAAAAGTCCAAAAACTTTTCCAAGTTCATCTCTTTTTCCTCTTAAAAATCAATATTGTTGCCCGCCAACTCCATGTGTGTGCCAATTATCTAAGTATCACTTGACCTTTTCCCCAGTTTATTTAATGCAAAAATGGGAAATTTCATAATGCATACAAAAATAACAACAAGATTCTGGTCAGCATGATACATTTAAGCATTTAAGCCAACATTAAACTTTTGTTTTGCTTCAAAAATAATTTTGAAAATTATAGCAAATACAAACAAACTATGCAATCTAAGTATCATGCTTAATTTCAGAATTCTCACACTATTTGTCCCTAAGTAGAAATTTGAAAAAAAAATTTTCACAATCCTTCATGAATGCTTTTACTGTCTGGATAAGAAACATGACTTGGTTACTACACAAACACTTAAAAATTGATTAGAAAAACCATAGCAAAATAAAATGAAAGCTGACAGACTCAGAATATCAATTCCTCTCATAAAAGTTTACCAACTGTACAAGTTAAGAAAATTATACAAGCTTTTGTATTAAGAAAGGACAGCTCAGTCAAGACATATATGTACTGTAAAAATCTTTCAAAGGCTACAAAGAATCTGGAAAAATACAGAATGTATTTCTTAAGCCCAGATAAGAATATGGAAGACATCATTGATGTCAAGAATTTTACATATACAAACCTGACTTGGTTTATTTTTAAACTTCTATATATAAAAAAATCATGCTAACATAACTTTCAGGATTCATAAGGGTTTCCTTAATAATGACACTCAATTTGTATACAGAGAAAAATGTCTGAAAAACATTTCAATGAACTAAAAAAAAAATTTGGCGTTAAGCAGAAAATTTTTTTCCTTTGCCATCAAACTAAGCAAAAAGTATCTTGCAGTAAAACTTTAAGATTAATACATCCAATGAGAAGGTACAGATACATCTTTAGTTCATTCAAATTTATTAAACTATTTGTTATATCCTTAAAAGGGTCCTTTATAATTTTAAAATAAAAATTCTACATAAGGCAGACTCTGAAATCTTATTTACTAAATCTATGACTCAATTCAATTTTCAAATTTTAACTAATTGCTTCAAGGAAATCAAGTTTTTAAGGTAACCCATCAATCCTGAAAATTATAGTTACACCTGGATATACTCCAAAGAAAGTAAAAGTCTAAAATTCAGTCATCTGTGTTTTCAAGTTCTTCAAATTTTCCATGTGAGATTGTTTCTTGGAAAAAATCAGAAGAACCTGGACTTTCTTTTCCACTGCTGTTTACCCTTCGCCTTTTGGCAGGTCTCTCACTTTTTTCATCAATATGGGCAAGTTTTGGGTCAGTGGTAAGGTTATCTGTTTCATAACCATTACTATCCATATCTGCATGAAGTGGTTTCTTATTTCCACCTGTTGGTCCATTAATGTGTAACCCTTCAACTTTTACTTCTTCTTTGTTTAATATTTCACCCGGTCCATTAGATGATACCCCTAAGTTGGAAGAAACATAAACTGCTAACATTAAAAAGTTAAATTTACAGACTATTATATGACAGTTACTGTAAAATAAATTTTCATCAAGGAAGTAAAATATCAAGTCTGCTAATGACCTGAATTCTGACTCTATTTATCTAGTAGCTGTATGATCTTAAGCAATTTATTTATATTCTCTGTACCTCAGTTTCATCAGAAATACAATGAAGATAATAATTTACCTTATAGGGTTGTGGTGAAGATTAAATAAGTTAATAAATGTAAAGAATTAAGACAGAAGTTGGCATATATTAAGACCACACTGATTTTACCTGACAACAAACAAGCACTGGATCCAGCAGTCATAATAAGTTGAATTTAAGCAAAGAGATGCACAAATTATTCAGATTTAACAAATGGCTATAACTTTCTAAAATGATGGGGAAAAAAGGATTATATTCTTTAGAAGCTTGACCTTTATACCCCCATATAAAATCAAGATGACATGACTTTTTTATTCTTAATGTAAATCTATGGGTATTACTGTACTTTAAGGGCAAAGATCATATACTACATTTATCTAACTACTTAAATAATCTTGCCATGTTAAACATTAATGCCTGTATTATTGAAGGATACACTTGAAAATGCTAAAAGTAAATACCTATCTCCATGATAGGTGAGAAAAGAACCTAATTATTCTAATAAAAGCAAGTAACAGTAAAAAGGTCATGCTGAAGTTAATCACAAAATAAAACAGAAGTTTTGGGGATATTTAATGTAAAAATTAGAATGTGTCACTAATGATAAGATTTAATTAAAATATACAGTATAGAGGATGAGCATCAAATATTATATTCTGGTCAAAAAAAGATTCTGTTTTCCCCAACTCAAAAGTACACTCAAACCATGAATGCACATGGGATTATGCATCATGATATTGAAGGCATGATTTTGTTGTAATAAGCCCAAAGAGTTGGTAACACTGTGATTAGGTCAAAAATAACTGTAAGATTTCAAGACGCTAATAAAGTCCCTTACAAAAGAAATAAAACTGGGTTGCAAAGTTTTTTCCTTTCCTTGAGAAACCTGAGAAAATTGATTTTTAGGCACCCAATGTGAATGGCTTCTGGGCTACAGAGTAATTTATAGGTAAACTTATGAATCTCCTAGGCTAACTGCATGTTCTCATCAAACTATTAACAAAGAACAAGAAAAGGAAATTACTTACTTGACATTATGAGCAAACAGGAAAAGATGGAAGTAGTAACAACTGAGTTTCTACCCCTAGTCCCAAGGACAGAGTTTCAGCTTTTTATCATACTTCACCTGGATGTGGCTAGCATTAGATATCACATCAATAACTCGTTTTTGACCAGGAAATGGCTGTTGTGCCCTAATTTTTGTTTGTTTGGCTTGTACTGAGGGAATAGAGAGGGGTCATCAATGAACAAAGTACAGTATATTCACTACAGCAGTGCCAGCATTTCTCTTCTAGTTTCTGTCACATCAGAAGGCAGGCAGGCAGAACTTAGCTCTAACTCTCCAGCTTCTTCCTAAAGAGGACTGAAGGACTCAGTACTTTCTGCCTGGCAACTATCTTACATAGGAACATCATTTTTATTAAATTAGAAGTCTGACTAGGTCTTACTGATCAGCAGAAGGATCTTTTTGGTCCACTGTATTATTATAAACAAGAACATTATCTGAACCTTAATCATATTGGTATGCCTTTTGCTTCTTTTTTCATGGAGATATCAAAGAAATGTTTCTATAGAATATTAATGCCTGTGACACCTGCTGTATCTTTTTGTATCCTTCAAGGTCATTATGCTATCAAAGAGAAAAACATTCAAATCAGTGCCTTTGTTATCTACCTCTTAATCTATATGGTTAATGCACCTGTCTGATTAAGTTATAAGCTTTTAAAGTATTTTAAAAATATCTGTATTTCTGATATAAAATGGCTAGAGTTTGGGCCTAAGAGTTAACAAGAATACTTATATTCAGGCATCCCAACCAGATAAGAAAATAGGTGCTGCTCAAATAGAATAAATTTCTTAAAAGAAATGGTCCTGTTGACAGCAGTTTATTAACCTTACTTTTCAGTGATATTGATGGGGAGTGTTTCCAATTAATTTGTATTCCATGTGTATTAATATGTATGTATATATGTTGATATTATATATGTTTCGTCTGGTATTTACAATTATTACTCTAAATTCTGCTTTGGAAGTTTAATAGAAACCAAAACTGAATACTCCAGGTTACAAGAAGAAACAGAAGTGTTTCTTTGGTTGCTTACCATTTTGATTACTATTGCTTACAGAGCCATCTTCTTTCTCAGACTGGCTGTTACTACTGTTTGAGGCAGTTGGGGGAGGGGATGGTGCTCGACTAGAAGCAGCACTTTCACTTTCATCTAGAAGACGATCCATGTAATCCCTTAAAATTAAGTAAAATAATAAAGTAATTATTCTTATATTAAAAAGCTAAAAATTAAAATTAAATGAGGTTACATTTAGAAGGCTTTATTACAAATATATCCTAATTTTCACTTATATTCATTCCAATGCCTCATCTATCACACCAGGATCTGAACACTTAAATGGAAAGTTTCTTTTGGTTACATATTTGTAGGAAAAAATGACTAAGAGCTTTTAACTAGCTAATTTTAGAGACCTGTAGGCAGTTCAAAAACTTTTAAAATTGTAGGCAAGTACTCAGGGTGGCCCAACTAAAATCAGAGGATTTAGAAGTGAAGAGATAGGGGTGATATCCATCAGAAGAAATACAAAAGAATTTCTGAACAGACAAAAACTGGAATTTTAAAGCTCCTAAAGACTATCTGATGACTACAGCAACACCTGAAGGACAAATGAGGGCCTAACAATGAATCACCTTAAATTTTCCTGGATGCCTTCTATATTACCTTTCTGCTGGATATGAGCTATAAGTTCACTAAATTTCTGGGCTCATCTGCTCGCTTCATCTGCCAGTGTATCATTAGACATGAGTTCACTTCTTCCCCAAGTCATTCCTGAACTTTATGACATGGGAAGATAGTTGTGTACATGACACTGGTTTGGGATTAGACAATCTGGGCTAAATACTAATCTCTCTGAAATACAGTGTCTTCATTTATAAACTGCATGTAATCATACATACCTATCTACCATATAGGGTTGTTGTATAAGATATGTATAGGAAAGTGTTTTGTACACTATAAAGAGCTACTAAGTCACAAGAATAAATGTCAGAAAACTATCGACTGTGGGCTGGCCACCTGTTTTTGTGAATATTATTTTACTGAACAGAGCAACACCCATTTGTTTACACAGTGTCTATGACTGTTTTCGTACAACAACAGAGCTGAGCAGTTGCTAGAAAGCTTAAAGCCTGCAAAATAAAACCCTAAAATATTTACTCTTTAGCTCTTCTACAGAAAAAGTCTGCCAGCATCTGCACTGGAATAACTCCCTGAAGGCAGGGACATGTCTGTTTTGGTTACCACTGCACTTCTGGTGCCCAAGTTGTACATAGCATAGAGTAGAAGTTCAATAAAAACTTAAGTACACATTTCAAAATTTCCTCAGAATGAGTATGATAGAAATATTAAGTCAAATGTTTTCAAATTTTGTGAGCAGGATAAACAAAAATGTAGATAAAAAGAAAACAGTTAAGGGCTTGGGGCTTTACTCAAAGCCACCGAAAGACAATCAACTATAGCTATAATCTCAAACTTCATGACCACATGAAGTTATGGGGGTTCTGGGGGATATAATAAATATAGGGATGTGGTACCTGACCTCAAAAAGCTTCCAACAATCTGAGGTACAAAACTAATACATAGCAAAGAAACACATATGACAACAAACTGAACATGTGAAGATTCTAAGGCCTATTTTCCTCATCTATAAATGAAAAAATTAAATTTGATCATCTTTACAAGACCTTCAGCTTTATGCCATTCAGCTTCATAATTACAGAACCACCACCATATTGTTCCGTGTATAATGTGCACTTTTTGCCCAAATTTTTGAGGGAAAAATAAGGACGTGCATTATACATGGGTAGTACTAATTCTGTATCTATATAAATGCTTTTAATTATTTTATTTATGCTTATGCATTAGAGGAGTAACTCCAGAAAACAACAATATCTGTATGCAAAGTAATACCCTGAAATACAACAATTGGTTTTGTTTCTGAATATAAATAAAACATTGAATTAAAAAATTAAAATGGAAGGTTTCTTCCTGAAAGTTTGGGACAAAAACGTGGGTGCACATTATACATGGCAAAATACAGTATGTAACATACTTGAAGCACATAGAAATATATGAGCATACTGAATACCAAAGGTAATTTAGAAGCTAAGACTAACAGAACAGATGATACACAATGAGGAATGTTGGAAATAAATTCGGTACAGTGGGAATGGATAATGGAGGGCACTAACAGCCAAGGGAAAAGAAAACTAGAGTTGAGTAGGTATCAAAATTATTTTAAATTTCTGAATTTATCAATGATATTGTGAAAGGATTATTATTATTTCCTAATGATTAATGGAATGGAGAATACTTAAGGAAGTGGAGTCAGGTAGACCATCTAGGAGGGTGGAGCAGCATTCAGATTACCAGAGTCACGTTAATTTTTACTTTAAGAAAAGAAATTAAATGGACGGCTGTTACAGTAAAATCTCCAATTTGCATATGGCTACCAATTCTTCCAAGTAGTGAAGACAGAATCTGTATTAGAATATTTCAAAGGCTATTTATAGGCAGAGAGCAGCAAATGGAGTTCATTCTGGTGAACAAATGCAAGATAACAATGTAAGAGTAAAATGTACTCTAACTATGGATTTTGACTAAAAAGATAGATGAAAAATTGATTCAGATTTTTGTGTAAAGGCATTAACTTAATGTTTTGTAGAGTCACCTAAAGTGCAACTAAAAACAGAAAGCAAGCTAGAAAAATATGTTTGGAAACAAACTGGAAAACCATCTCCATGCCTACAGAAAAAACACCATTTCTTCCCATCTAGAAAATAATGTGCAGTCTAGTTACAGCTCTTATAGAACATGTAACACAGCTACAAAGAGATATGAGTCAAAAATTATAGTTCAGATAAAAAAAAAAAGCAAACTTTACAAAAGACCCAAAGAAGACATAACCAAAGCCTACAAAACCATATCTTGCCTAGGGAGGAAAATGCATTTGTTCACTTCATAGCATTATACCAGGTGATCACTGTTAACTCTTAAAGCCTGAGAAAAGAAAAAATATGGGATTACTTTGAATTGTGGTTACTCCCCCTACAGAATGCCTAACCTTAAGAGGAATCGAGGTTACAGATATAAAGTATCTTCAAAAAGTTTTCAGAAGCTATGCAGACAGTTTTAGAGAAACTAAAATGTTTGGCAGCACATCACTACCTAACCTGTGTAGCTTGACACAGCAGACCAACTAAGCCAGTCCACAACACTTCCCCTGGCAATTCTTATGTTCTCATTGCTGATGATGACAGACTGCCTGTAGTTCACGTGTGAACATGATTTCTAAAATGGATGAAAAAAATGAAAGATGTTCCCTACAGAACAGCTTGAAAACTGTTGACTGTTTTAAGACGTTATAAAAACTAGATAGCTGTATCTAGTTCTATTTCATTATGCCTCAACAGTACCAATAGAGTATATAGTACAGAAAAAAATTATAAATGTCTAACATTTCACAATTAGACAAAATTTGGAATACTATTATTATGAAATTCAACTCTAGCTATCATGAACTTTAAAAAGTGGTGAGGCAGAGTCCACTGTACCCATGATTTGCAGGAACAATCATAATCATTTATTCCCTTTTATATAATTTTTGCTTTCGATTTTATAGTGTTTGATCCTCTAGCAAAGTGACCAGCAATGACACATGTAAATGAACATGACCAAGAAAAAGTCCAGCCTATGAGTTTGAAAAGCATAATCAAATATGCATACAAGCACATCCTTCAAAGGCAGTTATTTGGCCAGCCTTAAGCATTTTACTGGTGAACACTGACCAAAAGAAGTCACATTTTACATTGTTTTTATTCCATAAACATTAGGTAATAATCAGGGATAATATGGTAAAGTTAAGTTCGCTATAACAACTCATCAACATTTTAAAGCAACTCATGTGAGAGGACAGGCTCCATACTCTACGTTAGCAATTTTAAACCAGTATGCAGCAAGAACTTTTTAAAGCATGCAATACCTGACTATTTAGTCAGGTGCACTGACCTCTTTATACTTAGATTGTCAAATAAAGATAAAATGACAACAGCCAACACAATAATAACTGTCTGATGAGAGTAAATCAAAATTACACATTATTTTTTTGTCAGATTGGCAAAAAAAAATATTTTGGTGTGCTGCATAATTTTAGTAATTAGTTTACATGTGCCATGAGATGAAAAGCTTGAAAATCACTGCTCTATGCACTTAAATAACAAATTACTAGTGGCAAAGGGAACAGTGTTTCATTCCAAAACTAGACTGACTGAGGGCTAAGAGAATTTGGTGCATGGGGATTTGGATTAGATATACAAGGCACTTTGCATAAAGAGTGGATATGATTAATAATTGCATTACTAATTATTAAAATTATTTCTGTTAGAGGAAAGGTATCAAGAAATCTAGAAAAAGGTAAAACACCATGCACATATCCTTTCCTCTATAAAATATAAACTTTGTAACAAAGAAAATGCAATTTGACCTTTTTAATTATATCCCTATGTTTTTTCCCTTTTACATCATCTATACCCAAATCTTATTTTGGTTCCCGGGATCAAAAGTAGATTAGACAAGGAAAAATATTATTTTCCCTTCCTCTTTAAGATGCCTCTATTAGGCATATAACCCTATAGTTGTAGGAAAGATAACCACTCTTCTATACTCACTGCTCTCACAGTATTATCAGATTAAAACTGTAGGTACTTCTGCAATACTAAATGGAATAGAATTTAACAAAAACATGCTTTCACAACTGTTCTGATCCATTTCTTCTCAGGAATCCTACTGAAAACATACACTCTAACATTTGCTTTGATATATTTGTTGCCTTAAATAACATGAACTGTAGTTTACAACATTTTATAATACAATGAAAAGTCTAAATGTCCTATAGATATGTCAATAATGGATAAATTTAAACTAAAAACTAATCTTATTAAAAAATTAAGTTTTCAAGAGAAATTGAGAAAAGCTTAGTAAAATATATGACTCAGAAGAAAGTATAAACTCACGTTACACCAGGATGAAGATTATATTTCTTTTTTCCAAATCGCGTTTGTTGAGCAAAGAAATCGTAACGTTCAGATTTTTTCCACATATAATAGAAAGCTACACATTCACCAACTGACCTTGTTCGAACCTGTAAGAAACAAATACTTGTTTTTAAGAGTCATCTCTTTAAAGTAGTTACTTCATAGAAAATATCTAAAGTTTGAAAACAAATTTAGCTGGTCCTTAAGTAATATATAATACAATGTGTAAAATACAGTACTGCAGCAGCTGTGTTAAAAACAATTCTTTCTGAACTCCCACTAAGAGAAACAATACACTGGGCAACAGGTCAGATATTTAACATCATGTTTTTAAAAGGCTATCATCTTAATTTACTGAAACAGTAAGTACTTCTCTATTGAAAATGTCTCTATGTGGCATTTAAATTCAAATCAATGTTATAAGGAGTTTCTAAACACTTTCCCAACAGTGATCCAGACTCAACTTCTGCACTTTCTACAAAGGCTGAGACTAGTCCTCAGTGAATTAAAAGCTATTACAATAAAGCTAATACTTTGTGTACTAAGCAACTCCAGTGATTACTGTGCTATACCTATTTGTGTAACTGAAGGGGTTCCACTTACATAATGTTCAACACCTATGGGACTGGCATGTTGACAAAATTCCATTTCACTACTTGGCTTGGAGAACTGGAAGGGTTGATGTGTATTAAAAAAAAACTGGGAGTTTAAAATTAAAAAAGGTATCTGCATGGGTGTTTGGGATGCAAAAAAATATAACTTTAACCCATAAATTTCTGTCTTGAAGCAGGTATCTTATGGGATTGATTGTACCTAAGGATTTGCAATTTGATGACATCCTGTTTCATTACTTGACATGTATTTTTCTTACTCCCTCTCTGCTTGCATTTTACAACTCTGGCCTATGTTGCTCTAAGACTGAAAGATATCAGGGCTCAAAAAAAAAAATGTGTGTGTGTGTATGTTTATCTTTTAAACTCTTTTTTTGTTGTTGTTGCCTCCATTAGAATCTTATTTCTAGACAGATGTAACAAGCCAAGTAAATTCTACTTTGAAAGTAAAAATTGAAGACATTTTGGGGCATGCAAAGTTAACAGTATTATGAAAAATCCTCAATAAAATAAGCCTGCATAATACAACTTATGATTAAGTTCCAAATTCAATTCCAGGTGTAAGAACAAAGTCTTAATGTTTTCACTGGACCATTCTTCTCCCTTTTAAAGAACACTGTCTCCCCTTTGTTCACTACAACAACTAGTAATTATTAGGTATAGGTCAGCTAACTTCTGTAACACTGAAATATCACTGTCCCAAATACAAAAAGTGGGATTTCTGGGGATGTGTTGCCGCTTCTAGTTACACCACCTTATCATTCCAGGGGTCTCCTCCATAGGTAATCCACCATGGTTTGGTCAATACTGTTTAAATTCAAGCAGGAATGCTAGAAAACCATTGCCCTAAAATATTATCCCTTCAACCATGAAACTGTTTGTTTGTTTTTTTAACAACCAGAAACATAATGACCAGTCATTAGCACTATGCATTCCTTTCATAGACTATCAGTCACTGTATTGGAGGTTATCGATTCAGATACAACATTAAGAGGTATAGCTACCTCTTTTAGTATTGTTTTAAAAACAATGCTAAGCCCTTGCGAGTATGGCTCAGTTGGCTGGAGAGTCATCCCCTAAACCAAAAGCTTGCAGGTTCAATCCCTAGTTGGGACAGGTATAGGAGGCAAGCAATCAATGTTTCTCTCTCACATTGATGTTTCTCTCCCTCTTTCTCCCCTTCTCTTCCCCTTTCTCTAAAATCAATAACCATGTCCTCAGGTGAGGGTAAAAAATGCTAAGACTCAAAATTTTTCTTAGTTATAGCTGATGTCATATACCAAAATGCAACAAGATAATCAAGAGCAAAATTAAGAAAAATGACCTTACAGGATTTGTAAGCAACAATTTTACTTATGAAACATAAAATAGATACTGATAAAAATATGTGTTGAAACAAGTGGACACCATCCAATCACACCCACAGGTATATAAAAGGAGTATGTTGTGACAGACTATTTAGAGCCTCAGACGTAAGACCAAATACCGTTAACATCATCCTAGACAAGTCATCACATAAGACTTAACTGCTATCTTCAAGGAAACATGTAAAGCCAAGATCTTTGACATTTCTATTTGCTAAAGATGTAGTATTTTTAAGTCTGGAAATTACTTAACTTCCTACATTTAAACTCCTATATTTTAATTTTGCCTGTCCTAATGCCCTACAGGAACATTTTTCTAATCTACATAATTATGCAGTCACTCTTGAAAATCTTACCTGATTTCAGCTACAAGAGAATTAAACCTAAAAATAAATCTGCAAGTAACTATGACGTTCTTCTAGGTATAAACTGACATTGTATGATTGATATTACCAATATGGAATGATGATCATGCTAAATATAATTATCAAATTATAAAATTTTAACAATGTATAACAATGCTGAGTTGTTAAGATATTCTTCCGGAAAATTAAATCCTAATTAAAATCCAATTAAATACTAAGTATATGATTTTAGACCACTTAGGACTTAAGCAAATGTAAAAAAATTTTAACTGTAAATAACATGTTAAAAATGCTTTACAGTGTCAAAATTAAAGACCTTCATAAAAAAGAAAATCTGTCACAGGTTGTAGAAAATAGCTTTAAACAATTACACTGTATACACATATCCCACCCAGAAGCTGATGAACATATTTGCAAGTGAGTCCAATATAAAGGCTTCTAATATTATGTACTGAAAACAGTCACCTGGCAAATTCATGCCAGGAAGTTGAGGCATGCTTATAATAACAATTCCCTAAACATCAACATGTTAAAATTTCATTACAGAACTTTTAACATTAGAAAATAATTAAGATATAAGACGTTCTGGGTTGTTAACTAAATTTCCTTTTGGAAAAAAGAGAGTATGTATCATTACTTACTTTATTAGCCTGAATCAAATGGAAATCCTTTCCATAGGCCTTCAGCCCTTGTTCAAAATTTCTACACTCTTCCTCTGTCCAAACAGATAATTCCTCTGACAAAATGGGGAGAAAAAACTGTTAAGCAATATTCCCCCAAATGCTGTATATAACAAACATACTGAGAATAGAACTACAGTTTTCTGGTCACAATGAAGGATTTTTACCTTTAAGTTTTATTACCGACCGATTGCTGCAAATATGACAAAAACTCCTTACTAATAAAATTCTGGATGATGCACTAGCTCTCCAGCCTTAATCTGGGCCACTTTCCCCTTTATTCTTTATGACCAAACTCTACTAGCCAGCTTTCAATTCTTAAATTTGTTTTGTTCTTTCTTTAGATCTTGTGTATGCCATTCCTTTTGCCTAGCATTATTTCTTGCCTCCTACACTCCAGCAAAAATGTAACTTTGTTCAAGAAGTCCTAACAGCCTCACCCTTTCTCTCAACTAGATTAAGTCCCACTGCAATAAGTTTGAAATGCATCCTCTAATTTTCTTTTTAAGAACTCACAGCTCTTTTTCAGCTTCTCTACTTAGCCTCTATGTACCATGAGAGCCGGGACTTTGTTTATAGTTATGTTGTTAGAACTTAGTAGACCCCCCAATTTTTGTTGAGCTAATCAATGTTTCATTTGTTACATAATAATATAAAAATAGTAGTCTTAGTGAAGCAGGGTGGGAGCCAGTTTAGAGTAAAAAAAAACATATAGCTGGGTAGACTGAAAAGTGTAAATTTTAAATTTTAAATCCCATGAAAACATTTAATATTTATTCTTACCTCTAGCTGCTTTTACATTAAATCTTAATCTTCTCAATGCTTCTTCTGTGTCAAAATTGCATTTAACCAATTCATATAATGCCTAGAAAAATAAAGAGCTTCAATATGTGACCCAGACTATGAATAGTTCAAAGCTACAATTTCTTAAAAGAGTAAAGGCTTTTCTAGAATCCATTGTTTTCATCCCTTCTGGAGGATCAATAATCCCAGTGAATACAACATGTGGAACACTAAGGAGAAACAACCATAAATTTAATCCTGATAATTAACTATGAAGAAAACAGGATTAACAAATACTCTAACTTGGTAGCCAGAGTATTCACAGGAATTTAGAAATAAAAAATTATTTTATAAAAATCACAAATCCCTTTTTTTCTGGCCTTCTGCGGTTCCTATTCTAAGATAATTTTAAACATATCAGAAAAGAAAAACATTGATTAAAAAGGGTAAAAAAATAATGCTGTCATTAGGTTTGTGGTAAGCACTAGTCTACCGTGTGCATAATAATGTTATACCAGATGTGTATTACCAACTTGATGATATCCACATTCTCAGGGATATCCGAAGAAACTTTTTTTCAAAAAGCCTAGTAAAAATATATATACAGGCAAAGTGAAAATATAAAGATTTTTGTTTATTTGAGGTATCATACCCATGAAGTCGGTGTGTTAACACCAAGTGTCTTATGCTACCTATAACTCAGATTCTTTTGAAAACATTTTAGAAATTTTTGGTGGACAGACACTGAATGGGACAGCATTTACACTTTAAAACATATATGATTAATTTATTTAGGGAAATTACAACAGTTACTTCTTATTCATATACCTGTTCATTGTCTTTTATGTGAGATCCTTCAGGAATTGCTTCTACACCTTTCTCATCACCTGTTCTTCTAGACGCATCCTTAAGAAATACAATCACTTTATCCTCTGGTAAGTACTCAGGGTCCCACAGGAGCTGATCATCATTTTCATATACTAAATTAACAAAACATAGTATTTTTAAAAATGCTAAATATTGATAGTTTGTGTTAAAACATATCATTGAACAAATAACTGATACTTAGAGTCAAAATGTTACAAATTGATAGGTAAACTGTCCTCCCACTACTTGCCTGACTTCAATCTTGGGCAATATTCATAGCCTAAGTGAGTAAGCAATCTAATCAGAAGTACCACTTTTTACCCCTTTCAGATTCTGCCTGACTTAGCTTATTTACCAAATTCCAAGACCTCTAGGTTTGTTTGAATAATACCACTAGGCCTTACTACCAGTATGGGTCAATTACTTCCCTTCTCCCTGTCTCACCTGTGAAATGGTGATAGGAATCCTATGGCAGAGGTATAAGGTTTTAAAATACTTTAAAACAAGTCTGGCACATTTTAAGGTTCAATGGATGTTCAACATTTTTGAAAAGGGGTGTCTAAAAAATTGCTCACCCAAATGCTATCACTCTTATTTCTTGAGGCAATTTTTTCTTACTTCTTTGTATTGTTACATTGTTGCAACTACATTATAATGACTATAAGTAATTTTTATAAAAACAAGTCAGTATATTTTTAAAGCATTTAGGTTTCATCATCATAATTTCCATTATAATAAAATTAAAGCCTAAATTTCATCAAAATTTAGAAAGTAAAAGGAAAGGAGAACCTAAGAGAAAGCCTTGTAGAATTCTAAATGACAGAATATAAAAACAAAGACAAAATTAGTAAGATACAATCAGTCACAAGATAAAATATCAAAAGTGTGGCACCACAGCAGCTAGGGGAAGAAAATGTTTCAAGGAATAATAAACTGGTTTAATGCTATAAAGTGACCAGACTGAACACTGAGAAAAGGTACACTGAATTTACAAAGAGGGAGATGTCTCAAGAACTTTCTATGCAAAGAGAGAAGCTGAAGACATATTGGAGAAGACTGAAAAGTAAATGGAAAGTGAAGAAATAAAGTAGAAAACTCTTGGAAAGTTCATTTCTGAGGAAGAATAGGGCAGTAGCTGTAAAGAAACTATAGTTGACCCTGGCCAGTGTGGCTCAGTTGGTTGGAGGGTCGTCAGGTAAACTGAAAGGTCATGGGTTCCATTCCCCATCAGAATACATGTCTATGTCGTGGGTTCAGCCCCAGGTCAGGTGTGCAGTAAGGGAGGCAACCCTTTGATGTTTCTCACATGATTGTTTCCCTCTGTCTCTTTCCCTTCCCTCTCTCTGGAATCAAAGAGCATGTCTTTGGGTGGGGATAAAAATAAATAAGTACAATTTTTAAATAAACAGACTATAGTTGAAGAGTTTTTGGTTTTGTGGATTTTTAGAGATAGATGAGACATTATCATTTAACTGCCAATAGGGAAGAGACAGCTGGAGAAAGACTGACTCTAAGAGTTTACAAAAGATGACTGACAGCCTGAAGTTCCTTTTGCTATGAAAAAGTAATTAACAACTAATTAAACATTTCCTATGTATCAGGCAATTATGCTAAGTGTTTTCAGATAAATTATCTGCATCATCCAGAAGACACATAAAGTTTAAATATTGTCACATTTCAGTTTCCCAAAATTTATAATCTTTAAAATACAGCTCAAAGGATAAACTCTAGAAACTTTTCCTTCATAAATCTCACTTCTTTTTAAATCTGCTGGTAGAATTCTAGTGAAACTCTAAATTGTAAATACAATAAAACTCCCATAATAATGTGAATTTGGATATACTGCTATTGATTTCTGCTCTCTACTCAGTCTCTGTTCCGTGAAGGGTGCAGACTGGTTTTTGGAGTGATAGAGAGGCGGTGGACAAAACCTTACGAGGAAACCCTGACTTAGGAAGAGAAAGGTAAAGAACGGGTCCTTGAGTCCCCAGTGTTCTCCCAGTTATATCCCCATACGAAGCCTATTAAACCAGTACAAACTACCTGGGAGAAACTTCTGGAATTATTCTGGAAGTCCCACATAGCTACAGGATACAAAGATAGGCTGATTTAAGCTAAGTACACAAGCATCACCAGATGGTGGCAAATGGCAAGTCAGGCCCCTAGAACTGTGATAGGGTAGCCTGAGAATATGACACTGTTTTATGCAATTACAATAGACTAAAAAATAACCATGCTGTGAGAACAACTGCATTTTCACAGAGGCTAAACTATGCTGCCTTTCTAGAAATAGGCCAAATTATTTTTCAGTGAAGTTTACAATCTAAATAACTTTTAACTATGATCTAAATAAAACAGGCAACACAACTGATATTAAAAGTATGTTGTAGAATGACTAAATGCCAAGAGGTAAGATTCAAAAGAACTCCACATTGAACTACTGAGGAGAAATACCATTTATAAATATGATATGAAGGGGAAAAACTCTTTAATAGCAACACAAAGGAAAAAATACTTCATTATAATTAAAGTGACATAAACACACTAGATTTTGAAAGATCACAATCACTGAACTGTAATGACATCTCCAGAAACTATTTAATTCTAAATGAATTACCAAGCCTAAGTACTCAAAATTTAAAAAGCAACCACAAATATATCTACCTTACTAGAGGATATAATTTACATGATTATATCTTGTACATAAGTGAAAGGGTTCAGAAGGCAAGAACTCACCCACCGTACTAACACAGGTTAGGTGGGTAAGTGCTGCTTATGGCATTTTAAGTAATCAAATTAAGCTTCTTGGATAAGCAAAATGAGTTGCAAAATAATTTAACAAAGTTTATTACACGTGCGTTAGCAGGGGGAACTACTGTAGAAAGCTGAGACACAGCCATAACAAAACCATAAGCAATCTGGGAAATTAGTTCCCAATGAATAAATGTGTATTTATTAACCTCCTGGGTTTTTTTTAAAGCGTTATTCCATTTTTAATGCCTTAAAGATTCTAATTAATATATTATGAAGATGGAAATGCTAATCCATAATCAGCATTATATTGTACTAATAATGTTTACAACAGAAATTCCCACAATCTTTAAAGATCTTATTATGATTAATGGCATGAATTTTAAGTTGTCTAGCTGAGTTTTTCCAGTTACACAACTTCACTTGTACAAAAGACCTACATTAGTATGTTTTTTGCTAATCAAAAAATATCTGAAGATGATTTTCACTTTTATGAAAAAAGGCAAAAAGTTAAAATGGCATTTAGCCCTTATTTTGAAGTGAGCCTTTATAGAGCCAGTGTGCCAGAGTGGCGCCACCAAGCTTCTGCCCTGGGAACTACACTTAGCATCTCAGCATCAAGCTGCATAGCTTTGAACTGTCTGTATCTGTGATATATCTCTATTTTGTGCATCCACTGACAAGATGTGTCCTGAGATAACAGAAAATCCTCATATCATTCCTGTTTTACTATATGTTAATGTTACTTTAGGTTTGATGTATTATTTGGTATGATTTGGTAGGTTATTTTCAGGGTCTAGAAATGCTCAAAATTTTTTCCATGTGGTACAATAATAGTTCCCCCTTATAAGCAGTTTTGCCCTGTGGTTTCTGTTACCCACTGTCAACTGTGGTCTGAAGACCTCTGCATAATTCACCTCACTTCATCTCATCACATAGACACTGTATCCTCTCACATTACCACAAGAAGGGGGAGTACAGTATGGTATTTTAAAAGACCAGATTCACATAATTTTTACTACAGTATAATTGTTTTATTATTATTGCTGTTAATCTCCTACTGTGCCTAATTTATAAATTAAACTTTATCACAGGTACATATATGTATAAGAAAAAAGATATATATAGGTTTTGGTATGACTGTGGTTTTACTGTGGTGGTAGTCTTGGAATATATTGCCCTTGGACAAAGGAAGAACACTATTACTAATTGCTTCTATGTGCCATTTCAGCTAACAAAAGGTTTTATAGGAACCCTCCTCTTTGGATAGTGAGAGAAACCTGTATAGGTTAAATAAAATGTCTGTTTCAACAGTATTATTATCAGGTAAGAGTAATGTATGTGTTCAGTTTTTAGTAACTTAATTTGTCAAATGCCCATTAGAAACAATTTTCATAGTCCTTTGCTATTCACTGCTTCATAATTCCTAACCATCACTTTCTTACTCTAAAGCTTATGTCAGGCAACCATAAAAATTTGACTGGGAATTCCCTGAACCTTGCTTTCTTTTTCCCTAAGTAAGCCATCTAATTCGCAATTAAATTAATCCTAGGTTCCGAATCTTGGCACTACTGACATTTCGGCTGGATAATTCTTAGTCATGGAGGGGAGGGGAGGTTCAATTTTGTGCACTGTAAGATGTATACAAGCACAACATTCAAATTATTTAGTCTTATCATTTAGTCTTATCATAAAGTTGCAGTGTCTGTTCAGTCTAGTACATGGGAGTGACAATAAAACACACTTAACTTAGAAAATTCATGCCTTTCACCTACTGTGGGAATTAAACCTTTTCTATATGCTGAGTGAAGCCGATACCCATCCTGGAAGCCCCAAGAATGGATAAATGAGCCAGGGCAAGCCAAAGTACTTACTTACCTCTCTGGTCACAATAATTACTTCTGGTTGGACATATGACTCAAGCTAAGTCAATACAGGTTCTCCTTAGACTTTTGCTGGTGCAAAGCGGGATGGGGAAGTTGTCATTTTTGCTGGTTCTCTAGCTATAAGGACTGTGTAAAGTATAAGCCAGGAGCTCCCAAGTGGCCACCTTAGCTTGTCTGACAATAAAAGTAAAAGAAAGATGCAGGGACACCAGATATTGTAAGAACTACTGAATCTAGCTATATTTGAAGAAACACCTTTCCAGTAAAGCAATTAAGTCAATTCTTTTTTTCACTGAAGCTAAACTGAACTGGGTTTTTATCACTTGCAAGCAAAAGAGCATAAACTGATGCTTTCTGAAAATCTGGAAAAAATAAAAACCCTAAATACAATGGACAAGATTAATCATCTACTGAATATTAATGCCACTTGCTGAGCACTTACTATGTGCCAGACACCATGCTTCTAAGTGCTACACATAAAATTGTCACATATAAATCCTCACAATACGTTCTATAAATAAATGCTCTATTATTGCTAGTTTATAGAGGAGGAGAAAAAATTAGGTAACACGTCCAAAGTAAAATGCCAAATACTGATCCAAGATTACTGACTCTGTATACGTTGTGTTAACACCATTCTGTACCCACCCAAGAACCAGTCACCAAATTTTACTGAGTGACTATGTGATAAAAATCATCCTAGGAATTAAGGATACAAAAGTGAGTAAATGATTATAATATACTGTGTTGAGAATAAATGGTAATTTACATGTATTTAAGAAAATATTAACATGTAATTGAAATTTTGTAATCAAAATAGATAGAGGTTCAAAGGAGCATGACTTGAATATGACTGTAACTAATAAATCTGATTTATGTAATTGTTTGGAGCGATAACTGATAAGGAATATGTACTCTAAATAGAGCCTAATACAAAAAGCAATCAGATATAACAAAGAAAAAAATTTATCAATGTGCTTCCAAATAATAACAGGGTTTCCTTATAGCAATAAAAAAATTCTAATCCATCTGTCAATTCCTACAGTAAAGATATCAGGATATTTTAGTTTATGGAACTTTTATCAAAATAGCCAAAACCAAATGCTTTCCCTTTTCAATGTGTTCACCAAACCAATAAAAAATACCTGTAATTGTTAAAGAAAAAAAAAATGCACAAACTAGCACCTTCCCTTTGACAGCTTTATTTCTTAACAGTGTGGTTTACATAAGTTTTGCATGTGTTTGGTTTGCATGCACAGTGCACCTTAAATAGAAGCAAATTCTGAGTATTACAACAGAAGTTAGAATTCCTGAAACTACAAAGCTTGAGGATAAGCCCTATACCACAGCGCCTTCCAAGACAGTATCACCCTGCTAAATCTAGTCTGATCCTCACACAATCTAAGAAACTTAAATTCTCAAAGTAAGAAAGCTTCATTAATCACTGCTGTTTGAAAAAAAATAATAAGTATAATTGCTTTCTAAAATTGTTAAAAAGAAAAACATTAAATCAAAATTTTAAAAGTTAAGAGATTATGATCACTTACTGATATCTGACAATAAAACATGTTAAAATAAAAGAGATAAAACATATTAAAAGATAATTAAGCTACCTTTAGCTGTAATGTTAGCTTGCCACATATAAAACTGAGATGTTTTCCTTCCTACCTACAAGGAAATTTAATAAAATGGAATGTCTTTCAGTTCTTTATTTAGATAAAGAACTCAATGGTGAACATATACTATTACATAGCATAAGAAAAACATAACATTGTAAATTCAATTACAAAAATCCCATACAAAAGCTAATGAATCACTTATTTTTGCATATAATTACAATGCATTCACAAAACGAATGCATAGATCTTCATTATATAACTACGTCACTTCATATCGATACCTTTAATGTTCCAAGAATTTACTTGAAAGTGAGTGAAAATAATTACTGGTATGTTAAACATGTTTACTATCACTGGAATTTACCAGCGTGTGGCCTTCCTTTATTCGCCTCTGATCTGCTGCTTGCCCTGAAAGCAGGTGCACACCTATGATATAAAGTAAATATCTGGAGGAAATGCTAACAAGAAAACAAAACAACAAAAGACTTCTACAACTCCAAAAGGATCTGCATATGTAAGTTGAAATGTTGAGAAGAAAACTGAAATGAAAGATTTCTAGCACTGAGTGATGTCACACTGCACATGAACTCATTGAAAACACATATACACCCACAACATTCTTTCTAGAACTCACCTAAAGTGAGTAATCTGAAAAAGACTTAAAAAAAAGAATCCTCAAGTATTTTATGTTACTGGAAATTTAGGTATTTTTGACTTACTCGGGACTTTAAGATAAAATGATGAAAAAAAATCATGTAAAATTTAAGTATATAAGTTGTTTTCCCAAATTATTTTAAATACACAAGTATCAAAGTAATCAAGTTTAATAAGTAATGTTATGTTTCAGAAGCAAATAAGCTTTTTGTATCATTTACTCAAGTTTTTTAGACCTGTCCAACATCTTCCACTGATGTGACTTTTAAAATTTAAATTATATAAAAGGGTATATTCAGGCTATTTAAAATATGAATAAATAAATAAGTCACTTAATACCAAAATAACAATTGACTTTTTTCACTAGACTTGTATGAACAAAACTGAAAAAACAGAAAACATATTTCTTCTTATAGAAATAATGCAGGCCCTCTTTCATAATTCAGTAGGGTAACATAAACTGTCATGTCTTAGCCCATTATAAAACAATAGTTCATCACTTCAATGGCATGAATTCAGCTATTAACTTTACTAATAACCCACCTTTTTCATTTTCTTTGTATCTACAAACGCCAACAGGAATCTCCGCTTGAAACATGGAGCCCACCATAATCTCCTATTTTAAAAATAACATAAAACATTAGTGAGGCCCCTGGCCAGGTAGGTCATCCTGATGCGCAAGGGTAGCAGATACGATCCCGGTCAGGGCACATTCAACAATCAACCAATGAAGCATCAATAACTGGAACAACAATTGAATGTTTCTCTCGTCTCTCTCACTCAAATCAATAAAAATAAAATTTTAAAACATTAGTAAGATCTAGTAAAAGATTTTATAACCAATTTCTAGTATTACTACCTTCTTACTCAAACTGTTCCTGGTTTCCCTGTCATACAACACAGATGCAACAATTAACTACCTCAGAAGTATTGTGAGGATGAATGAGTTAATAATAGACAGGAGCTTGGATATGATTGGATGAAACTATCTGTAATAATAATGGGGTGATAAGCAATACAACAATGGATACAAACTTCAAAATATGGAGAAAAAATGAATTCTTACTATTCAGTTAGTAAGATCATTGTGAACACTAAAAAATAGTCAAATTCAGGCATTTTCAACTGAATCTACACTCTATACTATGGCCCTTAGGTCAGCAACATTAGTGTCGCTGAGGATAAAAGACATGGAAATACTCAGGCCCTATCCCAAACCTACTAAACAAGAAACTGGAGATGGGACTCAGCATATAAAGCTTGTTAATGCTTTAACAAGCTATCCAGTTGATTTTGACATATACAAGTCTAAAAACAAGAGCTTTAAGATAAAGGAAGTAATAAAAGGGTTTGTATAAAGCTCAGTAGAGGCCAACTGCATGAAACGCTGAACTAAATGGATAAGCAAGCTAGTGTCCAACTTTCATTAAAATGATACAAAATGAAAAAGCAACCCCCAAAACATAATTAAATCTTATTTTAAGAAATCTGGTAATCGAATTTATATAGTCAAATCACATATTAGAGGAAACTGGCTGTTTAAAACAACATTAGAGATCACCACTGAGATTTTTATGACACACAGGGACCAGACTCTCTTTTGCCTGATGGCTAAGTGATAAGAATAAATTAACTGCATTTTTAAATTGAAGACTTAGGGGGGAAAGGTACAAATCTTGGTCTAGTAAGTTTAAATAACTATTAGGATTTGAAAATTTCCTCTCTCCAGTTACTGTCACCTCACTGATGTTAGAAATTGTTTTCCCCATATTTACGTGAAGAGATGAAACTCAAAAAAATTAATTTCCTCAAGAACACACTATTAGTAAGTTCTGGGGCTATCACTGGAACACAGGTTTGATTCCAAAGATGTTTCCTCTACCCCAGTTTCTATAATAATTCAATTTTATCTTACAAACCTTAGATGATCTCTAAACCTAGACAATTTTTTTATTGCAACAAAAATCATACTAAAACAAAACAATCTGAATTTACTACAGCCTGCTTTATTATAGACTATTGCTGAGGAAGCAGCTAACACTACCCAGCAAAGATCTCACTTTCCCCTTGTTCTCGCCCCACTTAGCTTTTTGTTCCCTCATTTAAAAAAAAAAATTAACATCTAATTAAATACTATATTGAACACTCTGGATATACAAACAGTTGACTTATGTTGGAGAAAGGCTATACAAACTTGAATGTGTGGTAGAAAGTAACAATCTAAGATGACTCAAGGTTTCTAGATTTTATCATTTTAATTTCTACATGGCATAAAACTCAGGAAAAAAATTGGATTAAAAACCATTTCCCCCAAATTGGTCACACAAATAGTAACTTACGTGATCCTTATTTTCTGTCTTCAGACCCATCCTTCATTCATCACTCTCAATTAATTAACACATACTATACTGAACTAACCTTCCCTTACCATTCTAACCCAAACTGATGTCTCTCTCTTCTAAACATCTTTTTGGAAACCTGTAACAGATCAATGCTGGCTGAAGCCCAGAATCCCTGGGTAGCCCAGTCCAAGTTCATTTAAATACTCCATTCTTCCTAATAGAATCTCTAACTATGAGGTTCTCTTCTTTTAATCAGTAAGGGGTTCAGCTCTTTTTTAGGTTTGACCCAGGCATCCTTAAATTGACCCTTCACCCCCCAAAATTAGGAAAAGCTCCAAAGTATTAACTAAATATTGAGCTGGCCAAAAAGTCTGTTTGTTTGTTTTCTGTTAGGATGGCTCTAGTAGTGCTTAGTTGTCTTTAACTTCATTCGAAACAATTGTGTTAAGTTGTATTTGTGACAGCTGTCATATCAGCATGCATTGAAAAAAAGTCAAAATTGGTGAATTTTTGTGCAGTCATTTTGATGTTAAAGATGGAAGAAAATATACAACATTTTCAGCCTATTAGGCTTCATTTTGAGAAAGGTAAAACGCAACTAAAATGCAAAAAAGGATTTATGCAGTGTATGGAGAAGGTGCTGTGACTGACTGAACATGTCAAAAGTGGTTTGTGAAATTTCGTGCTGGAGATATCTCACTGGATGGTGCTCCATGGTTGGGCAGACCAGTTGAAGTTGATAGCAATCAAATCGAGACATTAATTAAGAACAATCAACATTATACCACTCAGGAGACAGCCAACATACTCAAAATATCCAAATCAATAAAGTTATTGGTGAAAGTGAAAAATGTGTCTTTTATTTTAAGGAAAAAACTAATGGGCCTTTTGGACCAACCCAATAATTAAACAATCATGACAAATGCAGGAAGTGCACTCAATTTGAAGTTCTGGGCTATTCTGCTTTCAAAGAAATGATTGTTTATGCACGAAATTTAAAATCATTATGTAGGAAAAAGAATAACCGCAACAACAAATAACTTAAAGGAATTTGTAAGAGCAAAATCAGGTGATTTAACAAGAATGACATTTCTTTTATATAATGATTTGCTCTGAACAATTTTATGTGACATTTTGATACATTTTCATATGTCAGTGACTTTGCAACAGCTTATAATTAATTCAATTTAATTGTATGGTTAAACAGTGTTATACAATTCTGTAACTTAAAACTTGTATCAATATATTATCTTTAGATTCAATTTAGAAATTAACATCTAATAATGCAGTTTTAGAAAAGCCCAAATCTATTTCTTCATACATTACACTTGGAGTTGTAAACATCAACATTAACATAGGATGGAAAAATTTGTAATCTAAATTATTAAACAGAATTTACTTAACAAATACTAATAAGCCTCCACAATTGTTTTTCCAAGTATATATACATATGTTTAAAAATCACATGTGATACTTTCTATAGTGCAACAAAATTCTAAATTAACACTAGTTCAGAAATTTGGATGTCTAATCTTGATTTGAATGCCATCTTGCTCAACAAAGGCCAATTCTTTCTATACCATTTAGTTTATAAAAGGATAAACACCTGAATGTTTTAGGGGAAATCTGAACATCTACACAACATTTCAATGTCACAGAAGGGCCTACTCAACTTTACCTCAACTTTATCAACATATATGTAGTTAGTATAAAAAAAAACCAACATTGCACTTAGCTTTTTAAATATTAATTTAGATAAAATGGCTCTAACTACCTTTTTCCAGTCTTCAGATGGAATATAATCTTCATCTTCTTCAGATTCTTCTTCTATTTCGCTATCTAGAATAAGCAAGACAATACTACTATAACATGATTGCCTCTCCTGTATCTATATATTTGTATTTTATTTTTACATCTACTATCAAAATATTCAAATATGCCTAAAAATATTTAGAGTGAGATCAAGCTACCTCTACTCAAGTAATACTCTATCAGTAATAAAACAAAAACCAAAAAAAACCCCAAAAAGAGGCCCATAAACCTTCTAGGACAATCCTAATCTTTGACAGCTGTATTCTCATGAAATAATTTTCTACAAAAACTTCAGGAAAAAAATTTAGAATCAAAATAATCTATTTCTACCTAATTCTTCTACCAACAGCTTGGTGACAGAATAAATCATATGATCTCAATTTCAGCCTTATAAAATGAGAATTTGGACAAAACAGTGGTTTCCAAACAGTGTTCCTTGAAATACTGGGTACTTTATAGCATCATTTGGGGGGGAAGCATGGGAAGGGATGGTTTGTATAAAGCCCTCCATTCTCTCCAACCTCTGCTTTGATTAGACTTTGTGTTTATATTTTGGAGTATGAATGTATTTACAGAAAAGGGTGAGAAATTTGAAAACTATTAGATTCTCACCATCTTCTCAACTCGAAAATGGTATCCAAAGTTCAATAGGTAACATTACACATAGAAATTAATTCCTACTGTGGAGAAACTAAGATAGACAGTTATGTATAGCTTACATGCATACAGCACAACGGAAATACCAGATTAAATACTGATTCAAGAAGCAGTCACTTCTTGTAAATACTGATTCAAGAGCAGATCCCTTGAATCAGTATTTCAATCGAATCAGAAGTAGCACCCCACTTTGTCAAGGGATCTGCTCTCTGTTAACTAATTAAGGGATTAATACTACATTTCCCTAAACTTAACACAATTATTTCAGTAACTAATCTCTTCTTGCCCTGACACACTTTTCAACTGGACAATATCTTAGATGAAAACTCAATAATTATTAGCAGTACTACATTCTCTTCTAAACTAAAAGCATAAAAAGAAATCATTCATACAAAGCAGTAGCCATGTTTAATCCCTTATTACATTACTACATTTCACAAGAGGTTATTGTTCTTCAAGTGTTTTCCTTCCTTTTAAAGTACAGAAATTTAGGCCAAAAATTTAGTAACACTAATCACTGACTTTTTTAATCAAAGAGCTGACTTTTAGAGTGAAGATTACTATTTGGAATGAAACACTGTGGAGCAGATAAAACATGCAAACATTCAGGATAAATACATTAAATATTGTCCCAAGTCCTGGTCATCTATGACTAGATCATAACTGTAGAAAAATTAATAGAGCTCTTTCTCTGCATAACATACTCCTATCTCAAGAGTCAGTAACTTCTTCAGAACTAGGAGGCATTAATTAGAGAAAGTAATGCTTACAAATACATCTAAAAATAGCTAAAAGGTAAACAAAGTAGAAAAGGTAAAGAAAAAAGGAAAAGACTAGGAGGAAAAAAAAAAAGATGACCATGAAACAAACTAAATGTAAGAAAGGGCTAGGAAAAAAAAACATACTAAACACGAGGTACTATACAATGACATAACAATTACTGCAGCATATTCATGAACGAGAAGGCCTAACATTGCTAATCTATAACCTAGAATAAAATCCCATTACTGTTAAGTGAGGTTTCAGGGTAAATGATTCAAACAGAGCAGAGAAAAAGAAATACTAAAATTTTAGGCGATATATTAAATAGTAAAAATTATACCCCAACAATAGCAACCAGTAACACTTACTTGTATCAAAATATTTACATCGACGTGGGCGGATTATTTCCTGCGCATCCTGAGAAGCAACAGATTGTGATGGATCATCATTGGATGACTGAGTTTCATCCTCCTGACCTGACGAATCCTTTATATTTTCTTCCTGTGGAATCATAATATGCTTTAAGATGTAGAAAAAAAAATTGGAGATAAAAGGTCACAGTATTCCAAATACAACTAGAAGACTAAATAAATACACTAACTGTACCATGTTGTCCTGGGTTGAATCCTGGAACAGAAAAAGGACATTAATGGGAAAATTGATGAAATCTGAATTGTTCAATTAAATAGTATGGTTCCAGTGTTGATTTCTTAGTTTTGATAAATATACCATGGTTATCTAAGATGTTAACATAAGGGAAAGTTTTGGGTGAAGAATACACTGAAAGTCTCTGTACTGTATTAGACCCTCTTCTGTAAATCTATAACTATTTCAAGACAAGTAAGAAAAATGAATATAAAACTGCCAATTAGACTTTATTATTTAAAAACAGAATACATGTGTTTTTAAAAGTTGGTATAAATTTATTTAGACTAGGCATTTGAAAAGAAATCTGAATGTCACAGATGAAACTATTACCCCTCAGGAGTGGATTACAGGAGACTTATATTTCTGTGTCTTAATTCCTAACATTTAAATGTATTTTCTATTTATTTTTTAAGGTTTTATTTATTTTTAGAGAGATGGCAGGGAGAAAAAGAGAGGGAGAGGAACATTGGTTGGCTGCCTCTTATATACAATTGGGGGCCTGGCCCACAACCCAAGCATGTGCCCTGACTGGGAATTGAACCAGTGACCTTTAAGTTCATAGGCTGATGCTCAATCCACTGAGCCACACCAACCAGGGCTAAATGTATTATTTTTAAAATCAGAAAGAATAAAGACAGATTACAAAAATAAACAGTCAAAATGAATGCATCAAAAATTTTAACTCCAACAGTAAACACTACAATCTTAAAAATATGTGTATAAGCTTACTTTATTTTCTCCACTACATCCACTGTTATCATCATTATCAGCATCTTCATCATCTTCACCTTCTTCTTCCTCTTCTTCCTCCTCCTCATCTTCTTCAGGTAGTCGACTAGTACTATCATAACCATAAAGGCTGAGAAGTTCCTGAATTGGCATGTCGCCTTCCTAAATAGGACCCCCCCCCCCAAAAAAAGTTAATTTGTAAATAAGTGACATTTTATATTGCTATGCTTCACAAATTACAGAGTATTCATTCAGTACAGATGAATGTTCTTAGGCCTGTATCAAGAATTCTCAAATCATAAAAAAGTAAAACTAAAAATAATTCTGAAAGCTAAGAAAATTCTTGTTTTTTAAGAATTTCTGTATGAGACTGACCAATTCAAATTGCCAACGACAAAAGTCTTTAAGTACAATAAAAAGGAGCATTGGTTTAGAACTATTTTGTGTCATCAATTCAGTTAATGTACACCATCAATTAACACTATGTATAGATCATCTATGATCACACTTAAGGGTACCATATATAATTTCGGAGTGGGGCAATAAAATAATTAAACAATAAACAGACTGTAAACAAAGTTAACAAACCCAGAAAGGGAGATGAAATTCAGAGCCCACTCAACCCAAATATGTTAAAAGAAAACAGCAATGATATAGTACATAAATAACACTGAATTGCATTAGCCATATATTATTTTCTAGGGTTATCTATAATTACATACAAAACCATCTCATGCAATCTTTATTATTTGCTTCACAAAATTTTTATATTATTTCCATTATACAGATGAGAAAACTGAGGCTGATAGGTTAAGCCACTTCTCCAAAAATTACCTAAGTTACAACTAGTGTAGCTAGATTTCAAGTGGAATTCCCAAAGTCCATACCCTTTATCAGTAAACCACGCTGTCTCAGACAGGAACCTCCCCCATCCCCACAAAAACATACCCTGAGGATGAAATGAAGAAACATCTATATACACTAAAATGAAGTCAGCTTCCCGCATAAGGTACTCACTCTAATCAGTCATCAATACGATTACTGACACGAAGTATCAGGGAAACATGACAGAATTCTGATTATTAAAAGAAAATCTGACCCAATCACTTGATCTCTCTCTCTTTCTCTCTCTCTCTCTCTCTCTCACACTCACACACACACACACACACTCACACACACACACACACACACACACAGAACCTTAACAGAGTTAGTTTAGAAATTAGCAAAAGGGTAATCATGAAACACAACATGTTTTGTATTTCTCCAGTAGTTTCATAGTCTTATTCACGGGCAGAAAGTAAGCCTGGCCACCTTGTCACAGGATGGGTACAATGAACTGGATGATATAGCCTGATGTGACTTAGACACTAACAATAAACTCCTATCACTCAGAATTCGTGTACAACAAGCAATTAATGATTATAATTTTTATAAGTTTTCTTATAAAAATAGGAAGAAAATGCTGTTTAACACTTCTACTTCACATCGTATATAGATGTTCTAGTTTTAAGTCAGTTTGTAAATCTGTTTCTGAAAGAGAAATAGATTCTAAAAGCCCTAACAACCTACAGCAGTCAGACTGAAAAGTGGTAACTATGTCAGGAAAGACATTACCATCCCAGCTGAATGACCAGCTGGCATACTTAACTGACATCTCATATTGTAATTCTCAAAGTGCAACAGTATAGTGTTTGAGGTGTTCAAGGACCTAGTCCACAGAGGTATCTGGTCCATGTACCAAGCATTTGGTACAAAAGACAGAAATTTGGAAGTTAGGAGTAAGGATCTGAGAAGTGAAACAGAACTTCAAAATCAAGAAAGAAGTAGAATAAGAGAAAGATAAAAGATTGGTTTTGTACACAATAACAACAAATAGCTGCCAAAAGGCATCCCTCTATGTGCCAGGTATTTCAAGGAAAGAAAAGCAGAGTGAGAATATTATACAATCTTATTAGATCTTTAAAAGTATCAGGTGGAAGTGTTCACTACTCTTATTTGTAAATATTCGGAAAATCAAACAGAAATATCATGCACTGACAGAAACTTTACTACAATACCTACACCTTCTAATCCTACCTCATTACTTTCCATAAACTCGTTCTGTGCCACAAATTAGAAGTAGGTTTAAAAACTGTGGTCACCACTATGAACAAGAGCCACTGAAGTCACTAGTATTAATAAGGGCCAAACCAGAAAAACACTATAGTTTAAGTATGCAACTTACATTTACATGGACCTTAAGAATTTGTGAAGAGCTTTTTTTAATATTTATTTTGTCTTTAAAACTATCCTAATGTAAGTTAGTATTACCTCTACTTTTTTTACAACTGAGTTAACTGATGGTTTGAGAGATCACACAAAACAGGCAGGTTACCAAATAAATGTCCTTAGGCTCTCTACCCTTTGGTCCGTCTTATTCAAGGGCAACAGAACCACCTTGAGAGCTTTTTAGAACAGATGCTTGAGCCCCACCTTATAGTTTCTGTCTAGTAAATCTGAGGTGGGGCCTGAGTATCTAAATTTTTTTATAAGTGCTGGAGATAGTGACTCTGTGTAAGAACCACCTATCTCACATTTCTAAGATAAAATATCTGCAAATCAGACTTTCCAGTGGGGGGTAATAAAGTTTGATCGTTATCTTTAACAGAAACTTATCACCAACACCTGGCACCTGACATTTAGCTCTGTCAAGTGTCAAAAGAACAGGTACCATACTAGCTGCATGGAAAGGGATTTTTATTTTTTTAAATCACTATTCAGGAATGTGGAATGTCTGACATCCATGGTTAGGTTAAAATTTTTTCTCTTGGATACATATTTGAGAAGTGTGACTCACTTTATAAAAATTTATTTCTCTTAAGAAAGATTTACCAATACTTCCAATACTGACTAGGCAGAGAACAGAGGGTCAAAAGCAGATGATCACAGTGCATATGGAGAACTGCTTTAATTTGAAAAAACAGTAAGAGAACTGGCAGATAGAAAAAAGTCAATCAAGTCAGAAAATAACTACAGAAATATAGAAACAAAAATGAATAAGTAGGTTACTGCAATTAGAGCAGAAGGTATCTGTAATAGCTAAAAAAAAGAAAAAGCTGGTATTTTTAACGATTTTCTCTAGTTTTACTTAGTTTCTAAAAAAAATAAAATCTGTCCTATTCTACTTTTGACTTGGTTTGAGAGTAGCTGTTGAGCAGTGACTGACAACTATGGCAGGGCTTAGGGAAAATCATACATACAACAAAATGTTAGAGATAGACTTGGAGAGACTAAGCTAAGATGGAGTCCACTGCTGTAAGTTACATGTAGCATAATCAGAAGCTAAACTAAATGAGTGGTCATGGTAAAGAAAAAACTCAAGAGACTTTGTGGAAGGAATCTATAGTACTTAACCATGAGATCAAGAGGTCCTAGTAACACTGAATCTCTGGCTCTAGACATTCTTTGGACCCAGATATACATTCATATGACTTATGGAAAAAAAAAAAATGAAGATCTAAAAAGTTTTACACCTTAAATGTTTACTCGCAAAGTTAGTTTTAAGTGGGTTCCATCATGTGTGAACAAAATCTCTACCTATTCCATCAAGAAAATACTTGCCTAATATAAAAACAAAGTATATAGTAGTATTATGCTTCTGTTTAGATATTAACTTTTATCTTAACCTCTATCACCGAGTATCAATTATGTAAGCAACAGTCAGAGGAAACAAGTTAATAACCAACAATTATGACCCACTGTGGAATACAATACTTAGAGTTTGACAGTAGCATGTAAAGTATCTTACTTGACCTGACATATAAAGTGAAGATCTTGCAACAAACACTGGGCTAAAACTACAATAAAAACCAAAATCCATTTTGCTAAGGAATCCTCACTTTCAAGTTCAAATAGTGTTCCTAACATGTGCTAACTGAATCACTAAAGATTTAGCAAGGCCTATCATGTAAGAATCATTTTTTATTGTCTGTTCCCAATCCTTTCTACTTTTATACTCTTTTTCCAGGAATATTCTCTTGTCCATTTCAAGCATGTATTTTAGTGAAAGCTCACTTCCCAGATCACAAAGCATCTGATCCAACTGAAATCACTGCATTCTCTAACCATAGATATGGAATAGGCACATGATCCCAAGCATGGCTAAAGTTTCTAGGCTTTTAGCAACAGTAATTAAAGAAACACAGACTATTTCAAGCAGTAAATCTGGAAGACCTAGGAACTGATAGCATATGAAGAAAGCTGGTCTGAAAAAGAATATCACCATGTAGAAAAGCAGAAACAGAAACATACTTTGGTGACACGTGAGTCCCTGAGGTCTAGATATTCCCCTGTGTATTATGAGTTTTAAGTGTGTGTGAAAATTAAATGTTTTAAGTGCATATTGCTATTCCTAGCAAACAAACGTCTATTGACTATGGAAATGATTGTGACCACCTATATTAGGATCACCACAATAAATCCTGACATATATATCTAATTCTATTAAAATATTTAAATGCTAAATTTATATAACTACAATATCTTTTACACTGCTAAGCTTCATGCAAGCAAATGTAATATACATCAAAGCTTATTCTATGAAAAGCTAGTTTTCATTTAAAATGTTAGAATTTAGATGGAATCGACTTAAAACCATAGACTATACAATTACTGATTAGTTGTGAATCAATCAACTGTCGGAATCCTGTCACAATTTCATCAAAAGTCCATTTCATACAACTAAAGTGCCAGGTAAAAACCACTTTAACCAATTCCTGATATAACTATGTTTCGCTTTTATAAAAGCAAATCAGGACAAAATCTTACTTATTTTTAAAGAAAAAAATTTAAAAATCAGTCTGTTTTGGTTCATAGCTGAGGAGTCTAACTACAATAAATCCAACACATGGCCCTGAACTAGCTTAGCTACAGGTTACAGATGAAAGCATTGGTAGTTGCTACATAAACCTAAGCCTTAATTATTTTGGAAAAAGTAATTAGAAGTATCTAAGAAGGTGTAAGACTGTCTTGTTGAAATAAATAATAAAAGACTGGTTCCCTTGTCTTTCTCTTCCTTTCTGTGTCCCCTATATATTAATTTTATTTTAATTACTTTTTCCCAAGGAACAGTCATTTGAAAGTAAATTTTGGGGGGCTATTAGAAAATAGGGAAGGTAGAATAAAAAAGAAACAAAGATAATCACATGCCCAAAATCCAAAATTTTAGCAAAGCCCCTTAGTATCTTTGTACTAATTAAATGTAATAGCCTATTTTCTGAAACAGACAATAATCATTCCATCTTATAACCTGTATTATAATCTGCATTTGATCATCTCCTAACTACTTACTCAATTACTTAGGTAATGTAGAATGTGAAAAGATACAAAATATAAGATTTTCCTCCTTTTATCCCATGGATGAGTTATTCAGAAATAGGAAAATACATGTAAAGTGAGAGAAATTTCTGTATATATAGGCAAATAATTGATTTCATGAATATATGAAGTAGTTGTGATTATTATATCATTCGTTTCTTCTGAACATCACCTAGGCTCTGAATTATCCAAGCAACTTATCTGTCTTTTAAATGGCTTTCCAGCTCCTTCTACAGTTCTGACTCCAAGTTCTTCATGTGCTTTTTAACCTATTCTTGAAAAGTTTTCATAATAACTGCAGTTATAATGATGTTTTGGTCAACAATGGACCACATATATGATGGCGATATACCACATGGCCTAGGTGTGTATGGTTATACCACCTAAGCACTCAATGATATTTACATAGTGATAAAATTGCCTAACGATCCACTTCTTAGAACATATCCCTGTCATTAAGCAGCACATGACCATACACATCATTGCCACTAAGATCAATTCTGTTCTCTGGCTTAAAATAATAAAATACTGAATTACTTTGGCATTGTAGATTAACCAAGCCTTAACCACTAAATGATCCAAATGGGACCATCTGACCAGATTTCACTAAATATTAAATAGGACTTCTTTTCCAGCTCTTTAAATGTATACTTTAAAAAGTTCCATGCTGGAAGTCTGAAACAAATATTAATCTTCATTATTACACTAGAAGTATGACAATTCATTTTCTCCATGATATTATGTACTCCAAATGTTTAAAGACTGGCACTATCTCTTATTGATTTCATTTTTTTTTTTTTATCATGGAGTACGGCAGATCATATATGGAATAATTTTAATTAGAACACACCAGATTGATTTATCCATTCATTCAAAACTTTGAGTGACATTGCTAAGTACTATGAAATACACTGATGAATGAAACAGGCATAGTCCATCCTCCCACGGAACTAAAGGAGGGTACAGACAATGAACTAAACAAATATAATTAGAAATTGTGTTTGGTATTAAAAAAAACACTGAATTACGTATAGTGGTTTAAAAAAACTTAATTCGGAGACAGAAAAGGCCATTCTGAGAGGAACATTAAGTCCAGGCTTAGGAGGATAAGGAGCCAAGCTCAGAAAGCACATACTAGTGAATGAGAATGAGCTGAAAAGCTTGGAAACAGGCAGAAATCAGCACATCAAAGAATAAAAGCAGCCTTGTATCACTGTGGAAGAGCATGACAGCGCAGTGTAAGACATGGATGAAGGACCATATCATGTAGGTGACCATGCTGGCCAGATCAAAGAATCTAGATTTTCTTCTGGTATAACAGGAAGGCACTGAAAAGTTTTAAACTGGAGGTTGACATAAGCTAATTAATATTTTAGAAAAATCATTGTGGCTGCTGTGGAAATATATTAAAGGGAAGAATGGAAAAAGGAGAAATAAACCAGTTAGGAAGCTACTGCAATAGTCTAGGCTAGATATGACGGTGACTTGGGAAGCAAAGATGAAGTGGTAGAAAAGAGATATATTTGCAAATAGCAGTAATAACTTATTTAGGAATGGGTTTCAGGAATGGTTTCTGAGTTAGGCAACAAGGCAAATCGTAGTACCATTTTTGACTGAGGTGAAGACAGGGAAGGAACAGGTAGAGAGGAAGATCAACCAATAGTTCTGTTTTGGACATTTAAAATTTAAATAAGTCTATTGAGATATCTAAGTAGAAATGTCAAAAAGGTGGTTAGATAAACAAAACTGGAGCAGAGAATATGCTAACGCTAGAAAAATAAACTAAAGTACTGAGCCTACAGATACCATAAGAATAGATTAGAGCACCTACTAGTTTAGTAATCTTCAAATACGATGTGCTAACTTAAATGAAGATACAGATTTGAGCCCCATGCTCCCCCCGCAACCCACAACATTCTACATCAGTATGCCTGGGGAGAGGCAAAGGAATCTGCATTTCTTACTAAGTCCAAGAGTGACTGTGAAGCAGCTGACCCTCATACTACATTTTTGAGAAGCACTGATCAAGAAACAGAAGAAAGTCCAGAACTAAGAATTGGGAAACTCCATATTTAAACCCTGGGTAAAGAAAGATGAGTCTGCAGAGGATAATGAATAGGAACAAATAAACAGGAAAAACTAGAGTGCAGGATACTCCAGAATTTAAATACTAGAAGGGTCATACACCACTGGCAATAGAGAGAAAACTGACCAATGGGCATCATAATAAAAGCACTGGTCATTCTGATAGGAAGGGGCAGAGACAATCTAAAGCACTTTATAGCATAAATGGGAACTAAGGAAGATGATGACAACTCAAATTTTGGCTACAAAGGAGAATAAAAATAAAAGGTGCAGTAATTGGGAGAGAATAAAAGGTGTGTAAGAAGAAATTTAGGATCCTTTTATAGTCCATTTTCATCCGATAACTGTGATGTTTTACGAAAGTAACTACTTGAATTCTATTTCTAAATAGAATTCTAAAGAATAAAGTTGCTTCTTAAAAAAAAAAAAAAAGCCTTCCACTTCAAACTTTAAACATCTTACCTATGACCACATAGAATTTTCCAGTATCAATTGTATATAATATCCCTTTCCCTCCAAAAAACACAACCAAAATTTCAAGTGTTTACTCTCTCCACAAAAAAGCTATAAAGGCTTCATCTTCAAGTTCTTATTGTTCTTTACCCTTGCAAGATCCTCTATTTCAGAGCTGAAGTTTGTTTCTCCTTCCATCATTTCTTCTTCTTCTAATGTTCGTTCATCATCAAAATCATGAACCAGCATGTCAGCTGATGGATCAAATTCATGGTCATCTGATGTTGCTGAACCTCCTGGTAAAGAACATTTTAAAAAATTTGATAAATTAAGTGTATCTTATTAATATTAACATGTTATTTGAAGCTGGCTATAAGTTAAATAAAAGTACAAAAAAAAAAAAGCTATGCACAGCAAGTATTATTTGTTTTCTGAAATTCTTGGTCTTACCCATAACTACTCCCACTCCCAATCTTCTCTAAAAGATGTAAGGGATTATTTTTTTTGCCTTGTCTCATCTCTATAAATAGTTACAAATGCAAAACTGGGAGGTGGGAGGGTTCAGATTTTAAAAATGTACAGCATTTAAAAAAAAAGTATTGTAATCTTCTAAACATGAAACTTGAGTTGTAAAGAATAAGTGGTCATATCAAATAAGATGGTATTTTGCGTGGGAAAATTCATAGTGCTTAATCATTTGTTTGATATTTAATAGACTCAGTGAGTATAAACCCCCGTGGACCCTAAGAAGGATATATAGTCATGTGAAATATATAGTCATCTGAATACATATATATTCTAATGAAAATGATGCTGCACTCAAATACTATTCTTCCATTAAGACTTCCATGAAAATGTATTCCAATATATAGGTAACTATCCTTAACTTACTTAGATGATTTTTATATTAAATAATCCAAAGGTAAAATATAAAAGCAAAATGTATTGAAATTGCATACAGCACTCTTATGAAAGGCATTAAAAATAACCTAGTAGGTAACTGATGTGTAAGCTAATTTATTTTTAGCCTGGTAGTTGGGGAATACTACTGTACTCAATAGGTCAAGCCTTGTAATAGCAGACTGCAAACGTTGGGCTTACATATTCAATAAACCAGTCCCATAACTGGCTATTGTCAAACATGCAAATAAGTTTGAAAAAGCACTGTTTACTAATAAACAAGTGAGTTATTTAATATTAAAAATCAATTTAAATTATTAAAAGTTATATTAATAGATGCATATACTCTTCCATTTCACTCCAGTAAAAGAATCAATAGGTAAAACAAAGCCATACAGATGCTGATTTGTTGAAATACAGACTAAAAGCTCCAGGTTTTTGTCACCTCCCACAATTTTGAAAGTTAGAACCATTTTTTGAGTGCTTACTATGTGCCAAATACTGTACTATGCTCAAGCACTTCACATACATTATTTCATTTAACCTTCAAACAATCCTACTAAGAACAAAAAGAAAAACTTGAGGCTCAGAGATTTAAGTAGCTTGTTTAAACTCATAGAGCCAGTAGGTGACAAGGATAGAAATTGAATCCTGAGCCTGCTAATTGCAATGCCTGTGCTTTTTACTGCACTCTAAGCCTCCTGTAAGTCACAACCTCAAAAACAGTAGGTATCCTGCCTCAAAGAGTACTTGAAGAAAACCTATGTTCACTATGATGAATGAATAGCAAGCCAGGTCAGATGGCAAAAACACTTAGAAATCATTGTACCCTCTGAGGAACATAATAAAATATTGATATTAAACATAAAATAACTAAATATTTAATTGCTAAATCAGGTATCATCCTACGGTATAATATAAAAGTTAAATTTATCGAAGTTTTACAACGATTTATAAAAGAAAAACATTTAGAAAAGTATATTATCTTAATTTCTTTTGAAAATTAAGAAAACCATGACATAATTTTAGTAGGGCACTTCATTGCTGCATGAGGGACTTGCATAGTTTGAGAACCACTAATTTAATTGTAGCTTTTCTGTCCCAATCATTATCCCTTCTTTCTCAATTTTTAATGGAAAACACTCCAAAAACTTTTCAGTTCACCTAGCAATGTTCTAGGACACTCAGTCAATAATTATGTATTCCTACAGATGATACTATACTTTCCTTCTCCCTTATATGCAGAAATATCCAAAAAAAACTCCACAGAACCACTTTGTATACTATTATCCTAGTCATAATATAATCCCTATTAGATGCAAATATTGTCAAAATAACTTGACTTAATTTGTAACTACTTACACACTTTACAAACTTAAACAAGCTCACAAGTATACAGACCAAATCATGAGTGTTATATAACTTACCTAAAGTCACTCTTTTTTCATATTTAAAGCCTTGCCACTTCCTTCTCTCACATGAAATAGTGTGTATGAACCTTTTCTCCCTTCTTTAATTCCTTTCCTCACATATGTACTGTACTTTTTTAAAATAAATTTTTGATTTTTTTCTTGACTTATTTTGACTTGTTTTATTTGATTTCTTTTTACCTTGTTCTTTGGGACCAAATAATCATCCTATTCCTTTTTGTTAATTACTAAGTCCCATTGTTAGGCTGTCTCTTATGGAGGAAAAAAAAAGTCTCAAAAATAAATTATTAGGTGTAGGGAATCTGGTGCTTTGTGTAAATAAATATTATGTTTCACAGTTAAAGCCAGTATCAGTGCTTCGTCATAAAATAACATACTGCAAAATTACTAAAAAGTACCTTACATTATTTCAAACATTCAAAAGATAAATTCAGTTTATAATATACCATGTGCACTCATTAAATCACTTTATTACCTCCCATCTCTAAATCTCCACCTCTAATGGCTACTAGTCTTATAGGTTAAACTTTGTATTGTGCCTCCACATTGGTTTACAATGGTGGAGTCTCCAGACAAACCACTTAACTTGGGTCATGTGACTGTTATCACTAAAATAAATTCCAAAGTGTAGATGTTACAAAGGACACAGCCTTTCACCAGTGGACCAAACATGTATTTACATGAAGCCTCTATTCTTAATTTTTTCCAACTCGTGTTAATTGCCTAATTATCAGTATTACTGATAAGAACAATAAACATTCCCTTTGGCAAAAGCCTGATATAAGAAACACTATCTATCTCAAAAGATAAACCAAAGATTCAATGTTTGTATAAGAATTTAGCAAGTAGTAAAGAGCATCAAAGACATTTGTATTCTTCAAGCTCTACTATTCTTCCAATTCAACCTAAACTGATTCCAGTACAATGGGAACTGAGAAAGTCATTCATTAATATAATTTTTGGAGAAATTATTTTTATGTACCTATGTAGTGCCTGATGAATGTCTCAAAGAGTCATAGAATATCTAAAACTCAGTCTATTTGCAATGCCCCAATATTAACAAAAACCATCTAAGACCTATCTTTTCAATAAAAATGATTTATGTCTAAAAGAAAAAGAAATTAGAAACAACTCCATGTCTTGTAAAGGACACAATAATCTAGTATTTATCTGAGGTCAGACTCCTTCCAATTTCAACCATCCAGAACATACTTGTAAACCAGGAAGTTGAAATAAACGTGACAAAATCAACTGTCAATTTAGAATGACTCTAGAGGTCTTCTAGCCACCCCCCCACCCACTTCATGCATTATACTACACAGAGTACAATGATACATGCTCATGAAAAGAACCCTGATCCATTAAAAAAAGCCTTACGTTATATTAAGCATTTTACAAACTTTCTAAAATTTAAAACAAAGAAAGGTGATTGCTTCATTTATCTGGAAAATTCAGTAATACAGCATAACTAAATCTAAGATGTTTTCAAGTGAAATATTATAATGCCTCGGAGAGCTCCCTTTCTTTCTCTTCTTCAGCTATATTAGGCTGTCCCTTAATCCAAGTACTTCATTACGGAAGGCAGTACTCTCTCAGTCACGTCCCAGAACACTGAGTGAGAAAGACTGGTACCAAACTCCTCCTTGACTTCTATTTAGCTCCAACCAATTGTTGCCACAGAAATGCTGTAGCCAGTGGAGCTGGAATCTCTTGACTGATCATGAGAAGCCTAAATCCAGATTTTTATATAAAATATTCAAATTTTTAAAGATCACTACCCTGGCCAAACAAAATGATACTCATTTGTGGCCCAGATTTGGTCCAACAATCACAACCACCTCTAAGTTAGGGAAAAAAAAAATGAATTAGTATTGTACTTGAAGAATACAAATATCCAAAGATGTATGGCCAGAGGATAAAAACTGATCTTATTCAAATATAAAAATAACTTCCTTAATTTACAACATTAAATGTTCATTTGTTGAATGTTTTTCTTATTTTATTTTCCTTTCTTCACTAAATGTTTAAACAATTTTTCTCTCAAAATACTCTGAATTTCCTATACAAGCAAATATTTCTAAGCAGTTAATAATTCCTTTTTTAAAAGTATACTTCATATATAGTTCAGGTCAAATAGCAATTAAAAACTATGAGAAATACATGTGGAAATTTTTTTAAAAAAAGAAAAAGAACCCACAAATAGTCACGAGGTTGAACTCACAGCAGCCTCACCTGTACTTTCATGGGCAGTCAAATATTTCATCCATTTCTTTTTCCCCAGAGAAAAGAAGCATTCAGAAGAAAAGCAAGTCAGATGATAGTCTAACTCCTCTAGCCTTTATGCAACTAATAGGACAAATGTTAGTCAAATTCAGGTTATAAAAAATATAGAAAATACTTACCTGGACTTGAAGACTCAACAGATGGCTAAGAGGGGGGAGAAAAGAAGAAAAATTAGCATTTTTGTGCAGTTATCTTTACAAACATTTACAGGAATTATTCAACGACTAATATGACATCAAAAACTATAGTAAGTTTGAATGTCTGAATTGTCTAAGACAAATGAAAACTTCCCATACAATCCTTCCTCTGACATCTATTTACACATAATAGGAAAATTCGAAACACTCCTGAATCTAGAGACAGACAATAATATGGAACTGATTGTTTTTAAAGGTAAATGAATCTCATAACATATATGGTTGGTTACAAAGAGATGATTTAGGTCTTGAAAGTTTCTGAAATATTCCCTCTTATCAATATAAGAAAACTATGCACAAGGTTTGCTATCAAGCTGATCTATGGCTTAAAATGTATGAGAATGGATGCAAGAACAATTTAGGACATTATTTTAACTAAAAATTATATTGCAAGCAAGCAGAAGGAAAAATTAAAATGTTACTTAAGCACCAAACAGTACATTATGTTAACTTTACTAACAGACTACATATTTGTAAATTATCATAAAATTAGCAACCTTTCATGCTAAGTCTGGAGAGGTTAAATTATCTGATAGAATATCACAAAGACTTCCAATTGTAATGCTCTTTCTGCGCCATTCTACCTCTCATAAATTTAACCATATGTTTCTGGAAAAATGTCAAGATAAAATTGTTAGCAACTTATTTTAGTAATTTCACCACTTGAGAGTTTGTGGCTGTTTTATCTAATTCATTTAAAATCAAGTCATCTACAAATATAAACTCCCATAAGATAAATTCAGTAACAGACTCAAAAGATGCTTCAAATGATACAAACTTTGTAACTAAAACCTTGCCTATTCACTCAGATCTAAATATTTAGTGCCCAACAGAAATCAGAGAAACTGGAAGGCCAAAAGCACTAGCAAAGAGAAAGGGGGATATTATTGTAGTATTTTCCTTCTTTCTCCTAACAAATGGCACAGAGAGGCAAGAACAAAATAGAAATGAGGAATGTGCCCAATATTTCAAACGGTAGGCATCAAAACTCCACTTTGAAAACTGTCCACATTACGCTATTGTAGTAAGTATACACTCCAAATTCCACATGGTGTCTTAGGTTCTTTTAAGACATTTTTTCAAGGGTCCTATATTATTTTCTTTTCATTCTTACAAGAGAATGGTTCTTGCCTACAGCACTGCCTTGCTCTAACAAAAAACTGAGTGGTTAGTATTGCACATTTTCAAGCGATACCATCTTTATTTAAGTTACTCTGCCCCAACAATAAAAAACAAGTGCTACTTTTTAATTCAGTTTCTCTAATGCAAAGCTGAAGAGCAGGGTGAGAGAAGAGAATAATGTAACCAAAAAAATGGTTTCTAGTTTGCTTAACTTCTTTCAGGCAGAGCTACACACTTCTGGCTGATAATAAATTTACCGACCACACAAATGATTACAAATCAGTATTTTAAAAAATCTTTTATTTTATGTAATTATACTTTACTTCCCAAGTTTAAGAACAACCCTTGTGCAAGGCTACAGCAATGCTCATGACTATCTTCATCTGGTCCCAGGTTCACTGTCCACTGAGTAGCTTTACATTGCTGTTATAATCCTTTTTAGTGAACTTTTGAAACAGATGTGCAGGGCATAAAAAAGAAAAATCAGCATTTCTTTCAAATTAGTAGGCTAAAAGAAATAGTTCTTTGAGCATTTAGTTCTTTTTGAACACTCCACTAATTATTCCATTTAATAGTCTTTTGATAAAAAAGGCTTTCTGAATAAAAATAAGTTGTTTTACTGAGGAAAAAATGGCATATATTCACTGATGTTAGACACTTGTAATATCAGATACTGAATGGTGATGGTGTCTGTATACTTTAGTTTGTAAAAGGCCTCAAACAGTACTAAATGCCAATAAATACTATATTGATTGTTGTTTTCTTGGTAAATAGTTACCAGGTTTAAGGTCCTGAAAAAGGCCAAAAATATTTTCAATTTACTAAGATAATAAATATCACAAGGCCTGGTGGCATTTGTAAGTATAGCTGGCATAAAATATAATTCCCTGAGTTCAAATATAGCATTAATCATCATACTATGTCAGACATAACTGGAATATTTCAAAAGCCATCATTTGGCTGATGATGTATCTAGAATAGAACAGGAAGAGAGGAGGTCTGGGTCATTTGCCTACATATATACATTTTAGAATTGCATATTTAAAATAAACTTCTATTGTACTGGTTTAGGGAGGGTGGGGAATAACAGTTTCTTGAAAGTAATCATATCCAATTAAATAAAAGATGATCATTAACTAAATTAACAATGATCATTAAATAAATAAATAGAGAGCTTCTGGGAAGCTGGCATTTTAAAAGTTTACACTATAAACCACTTTTGTCAACCAAGAAACAAAATGATAATCTTTCAAATATATGAGGTTAGTATCATAATACATGATATTTCAGTATGGAATGAGGGCATTTTTTATTTAGGTATTTAAAATAGCAAAACTAGCTTACATTTATATAGGACTACATATATTCAAGTGCATAGTTACTTATCATAAACATAACCTGCCCTACCTACCTCATTTTATACATTAGTAAACCCAGGGAGATAAAGTGACTTGATCAAGGTTCCACTGTAGGTGAAGAAGGCAGAAGTAAAGGGCCTGATGCCTTCTTTACCTCCCGTGGAAACAACTATGTAAAAAAAAAAAATTTCTCTTCATTTCCTTTCTCCATTACCCTTACTTTCTTCTTCTTTTTTAAATGGTTTTCATTTGTTCAAAGAAAGTTTAAAATGTGACTTTGAGTTGTCACTTGTCACGTATTATCCATGTCTCCTTAGGAACTGGCATCTCTTTTAATAGTACCTTCCAGGAAAACTGCCATATCTACCATTAATGACTACAGTAAACTGGAAAGGGGAAGGAGGGGAAAAAATAATAAAACTATAGCCATACAGCCCTGGCCAGTGTGGAGTATCATCCTGGAAACTGAAAAGTGGCGAGTTTGATCCAGGTCGGAGCAAATGCCTAGGATGAAGGTTTAGAGGTCCCTGGTTGGGGTGCCTAAGAAATGCAACTGATTGATATTTCTCTCTCACATCAATATTTCTCTCCCTCCTCCCTCTCTGCCTAAAATCAATAATCATATCCTTGGGTAAGGATTTAAAAAGATATAAAGCAAAACTGAAGCCATATACTCACTTGTAACAGTATCTATTTTTAATAAAAGTTCAAACTATAAAATGTAAGCAGTAAAGACTTTACATTGGAGATTAAAATATATTTTAAATGCACTCATGCCCTGGCCGGATGGCTCAACTGGTTGGCTCAGCTGGTTGGAGCACTGTCCAGTGCACCAAAACGTTGTGGGTCTGATCCCAGGTCAGGCAAGGATGGGAAGCAACCAATCAATGTTTCTCTCGCACATTAATGTTTCTAGTTTTCTCTCCCCCTTCCTCTCTGTCTAAAATCAATAAACACAACACTGGGTGAGGATTAAAAAATATATATCTATATAATGCATGCATACATTATTGGTAGAAACGAGAGTTAGTTTAACTGCTCTGGATATAATTTTGCCAAAATGAACTTACCCTACCGATATGCCTAATAAAGAACACCAAAATATTCTTTACCACGAGATGTTTATTACCACAAAGTTGTTCATAGCCAAAAGTTGGGGAAAAAATTTTAATGTCCATCATTTAATTAGTCAGAAGTAAAATACCGTTCTTCCAAGCAACGGTATACTATTGATCCAATTAATCCATTATAAAGAATGAGAAATCTTGTTTGCACTGACTGGGGGAAAATACAAATATATATATATGGGGGGCAGTGGAGAGAGATGCACACAGACACAGAAATGTGTGGAGGAAGGGAGTACATTGGGCTAGACTATACATAAAAAAATTTTTTCCCAAAAGGATACACAAGAATCTGTTAACAACAGTTACCACTAAGGAATGGTTTGTGGAGGGAAAGCTTCTTTCATTTTATAACTTTCTGTACTGTTGGAATTTCTAACTACTTGCAAGCATTACTCATTATTTTAAAAAGAAAGTCAGTGGAGATTTGTCTTGTGGAATTACGAGACATTTTTATTTTCTTAATTATTTGATTTTTAAAAAACCTAGCACTTGCCACTATTTTTCCTTTAACAAGTCTATAATTTTGAAAAATAACCTAGTGTTCTTTAGTGTTCTTTTAGGTACATATATAATTATTTGAGATGGAAAACAAAACACCACACACACACACAGTATGAGTAGGTTAAATCAAATTTAAAAAATGAACTCTAACTTTTATGGCATTTTTAAACCTTGACCCATATAGTATACAATTTAAGTCAATAAAGTTAATACTTGTAACAAATATTTAATGCCTCAGATGTGTTCCAATTATTTTGTATCTTTCTAGAACACGGTGAGAAATATCCCATACACCAGAAAACTAAATTGGGAGAAAGAAAAAAATCAATTAGATTATTATCATTACTAAAAAATTAGTAATTAGTAAAAACATGAGGCAATCTTTAGATTCTTTAATTCCAAGCAATCAAAAGCATATTTTCAATGAGCATAACTGTCTGAATTAATCCCCCCCCGCCCAAACTAATTGCACCACCATTTTTTTAAGTGTTATCGTTACCTACTTAGTAATGTAGGCACTAAATCAGAGATTCTCACACAGATGGGCCTGATAGTAGACAGGAAGGAGCTAGGGGCCCTACTCCAATGTGAAAGGCAAGGAGAGCTAAACCCTAAGAATTCAAAAGCCTAGGTTCCAGTCTTAACTGTGCCATAGACTAAACTGCACAACCTAGGACAAATTACATAAACTCTTTGCTTAGTTTCATTTTCTCTAAGATTTAAATTTCTTCAAGCTCAAATTCCTTTGCGATCAAAGTTCTTTACTTTTATTATGAATTTCTCAGAAGACATACACTACTAAGGAGTTGTTTAGTATGTTTAACAGACTCTTCTAAATT